GGCGGAAGAAAAACGCTCGGAACGAGCGCTTCCAGCCCCAAAATGCGGAAGGATCCGCACATGTGCAGGAAGTGCAGCGGGCGCTCTTCATTCGCGAGCTCCGATGACCGATGATGCTCGCAACCCTCCCACGACCTTGCTGGCTTGGTAATAGGCCCAAAGAAGCGCAACCACGTGACTCGACGGAAGAAAAACGCTCGGATCGAGCGCTTCAACCCCCAAAACGCGAAAGGATAAGCACATGTGCAGGAAGTGCAGCACGCGCTCTTCATTCGCGAGCGCCGATGACCGATGATGCTCACAACCCTCCCACGCCCTTGCTGGCTTGGTAATAGGACCAGACAAGCACAGCCACGTGACCCGGCGGAAGAAAAACGCTCGGAACGAGCGCTTCCACCCCCAAAACGCGGAAGGATCCGCACATGTGCAGGAAGTGCAGCGAGCGCTCTTCATTCGCGAGCGCCGATGACCGATGATGCTCGCAACCCTCCCACGCCCTTGCAAGCATGGTAATAGGCTTAGACAAGTGCAGCCACGTGACCCGGCGGAAGAAAAACGCTCGGAACGAGCGCTTCCACCCCCAAAACGCGGAAGGATCCGCACATGTGCAGGAAGTGCAGCGGGCGCTTTTCATTCGCGAGCGCCGATGACCGATGATGCTCGCAACCCTCCCACGCCCTTGCTGGCTTGGTAGTAGGCCTAGACAAGCGCAGCCAAGTGACCCGGCGGAAGAGAAACGCTCGAAACGAGCGCTTCCACCCCCAAAACGCGGAAGGATCTGCACATGTGCAGGAAGTGCAGCGGGCGCTCTTCATTCGCGAGCGCCGATGACCGATGATGCTCGCAACCCTCCCACACCCTTGTTGGCTTGTTTATAGGCTTAGACAAGCGCAACCTCGTGACCCGGCAGAAGAAAAACGCTCGGAACGAGCGCTTCCACCCCCAAAACGCGGAAGGATCCGCACATGTGCAGGAAGTGCAGCGGACGCTCTTCATTCGCGAGCGCTGATGACTGATGATGCTCGCAACCCTCCCACGCCCTTGCTGGCTTGGTAATAGGCCCAGAAAAGCGCAGCCACGTGACCCGGCGGAAGAAAAACGCTCGAAACGAGCGCTTCCACCCCCAAAACGCGGAAGGATCCGCACATGTGCAGGAAGTGCAGCGAGCGCTCTTCATTCGCGAGCGCCGATAACCGATGATGCTCGCAACCCTCCCACGCCCTTGCTGGCTTAGTAATAATAGACCCAGAAAAACGCAGCCACGTGACCGGCGGAAGAAAAACGCTCGGAACGAGCACTTCCACCTCCAGAACGCGGAAGGATCCGCACATGTGCAGAAAGTGCAGCGGGCGCTCTTCATTCGTGAGCGCCGATGACCGATGATGTGTGAGGAGTTGAGCAAGGTGTGAGGGATTAGAAAGCGCGTCGAGGAAGACGATCTTGAGCGGGTCCTTGTGCATCAGTCGCTTGTACCCCTGCGCCCCGCACACACAGGGATCGGGGTGGGGTGGGGTGAGGTTGGTTGTGACAAGTGAGGGTGAGGAAGGGCGGGCGCCGAGGAAGACAGTCTTGAGCGGGTCCTTGTGCATCAGCCGCTTGTACCCGTGCGCCCTCCACACACATAGAGGTTACGGTGAAGGTGGGGGTGACAAGTGAGAGTGAGAAACGGCTACCTAGCGGCTAAGGGGAAGTGAGAGAGTATGAGAGAGGAATGCAGGTGAGGAGTGTGAGTGGGGAAGGGCATGAAGGGGCAACGCACCAGCCAAATTCCTATTCATCATACACGCCTACGATGCTGCGCGAGCACGCAGACGGATCTGATCCGTCAGGGATCGGTGTCACGTTGCTTGGCTTGTATTGTGGACACGTGAATTGCAGAAACTGCAACACGCTCATTCCACTTGCTCTTATCCATTCAACCAAAGCCATGCCCACCATGCATTCTAGTGCAATCCAATGCACCCAGCACATCCACTTCTCACTCCTCCCCCTCATAACAGACAAACAATGTATGCTTTTAGTGTAGTGCTTGGCATAAGGAGGCATGGTCCGGGCATGAGCAGACATGAGCACGCACGATCAGGGTACGAGCAGGCACGAGCACAGGACAAAGCTTTAGCAGAACAGAGTGCTGAAACAGCCGAAAGCATCGGCGCTGAACTTTCTTTTCCGCAAGAACCAATCCTAGAAGGCTCCAATAGGTGTATTTGAACATGGGCCACTCAAATATGCAATAAAATTCAGGTTGTTGAATGCATTTCCCTACGCCTATAGGGATTCATGGGTTCCCTAAGCATTTGTCGGCAAAACAGCCGAAAGCATCGGCGACAAACTTTTCTTTGCGCGAGAACCAAGCCAAGAAGGCTCTAATAGGTCTATTTGAACATGGGACACTCGAATATGCAGTAAAAGTCAGGTTGTTGAATGCTTTTCCCTACGTCTGTAGGGATTCATGGGTTCTCTAAGCATTTGTCGGAAAAAACAGCCGAAAGCATCGGCGCCGAACTTTTGCAAAAACCAAGCCGAGAAGGCTCTAACAGGTGTGTTTGAACATGGGTCACTTGAATATGCAGTAACAATCAGGTTGTTGAATGCCTTTTCCTACGCCTATAGAAATTCATGGGTTCTCTAAGCATTTGTCGGCAAAAAACAGCAGAAATCATCGGCGTCGAACTTTTCTTTGCGCGAGAACCAAGCCGAGAAGGCTCTAATAGGTGAAATTGAACATGGGCCACTCAAATATGCAAAATAAATCGGGTTGTTAAACGTTTTTCCCTACGCCTATAGGGATTGATGGGTTTTCTAAGCATTTGTTGGCAAAAACAGCCGAAATCATCAGCGTCAAATTTTTCTTTGCGCAAGAACCAAGTCGAGAAGGGTCTAATAGGTCTATCTGAACATGGGCCACTCGAATATGCAGTAACAATCAGGTTGTTGAATGCTTTTCCCTACGCCTATAAGGATTTATGGGCTCTCTAAGCATTTGTCAGCAAAAACAGCCAAAAGTATCGGCGCCGAACTTTTCTTTGCACGAGAACCAAGCCGAGAAAATATTTATAGGTGCATATGATTATGGGTCACTCAAACATGCAAAAACAATCAGGTTGTTGAATGCATTTCCCTACGCCTATAGGGATTCATGAGTTCTCTAAGCATTTGTCAGCAGAAACAGCCGAAATTACCGGCGTCGAACTATTCTTTGCGCAAGAACCAAGCGAAGAAGGCTCTAATAGGTGTATTTGAACATGGGCGAGTCAAACATCCAATAACAATCAGGTTGTTCAATGCTTTTCCCGATGCCTCTAGGGATTCATGGGTTCTCTAAGCATTTGTCGGCAAAACCTGCCGAAATCATTGGCGCCAAACTTTTCTTTGCGCAAGAACCAAGCCGAAAAGCCTCTCATAGGTGTATTTGAGCATGGGTCACTCAATATGCAATAACATTCAGGTTGTTGAAGGCTTTCTACTTCGCCTATAGGGATTCATGAATTTAGCATAAACAGCCGAAATTATCGACGCAGAACTATTCTTTGCGCAAATACCAAGCCAAGAAGGCTCTAAGAGGTGTATTTGAACATGGGCGAGTCAAATATGCACTAAAAAACAAGTTGTTGAATGCTTTTCCTTATGCCTGTAGGGATTCATGGGCTCTCTAAGCATTTGTCGGCAAAAACTGCCGAAATCATTCGCGCCTAAGTTTTCTTTGTGCATGAACCAAGCCGAAAAGCCTCTAATAGGTGTATTTGAACATGGGCCACTCGAATATGCAATAAAAATCAGGTTGTTGAATATTTTCCCCTACGTTTATAGGGATTTATAAGTTATCTAAGCATTTGTCAGCAAATACAGCCGAAATCATTGGCGCCGAACTTTTCTTTGCGCAAGAACCAAGCCGAAAAGGCTCTAATATGTGTATTTGAACATGGGCCACTCGAATATGCAGTAACAATCAGGTTGTTGAATGCCTTTTGCTACGCCTATAAGGATTCATGGGTTCTCTAAGCATTTGTCGGCAAAAACAGCCGAAATCATCGGCGCCGAACTTTTCTTTGCACGAGAACCAAGCCGAGAAGGCTCTAATAAGTGTATTTGAACATAGGAAACTCGAATATGCAATAACAATGATGTTGTTTAATACTGTCCCCTACGCCTATAGAGTTTTATAGGTTCTCGAAGCATTTGTCAGCAAAAAAAAGCATTAACGCCGAAAGCCATCTAATAGGTGTATTTGAACATGGGTCATTCAAATATGCAATAATAATCAGGTTGTTGAATGCTTCCCCTACGCCTAAAAGGATTCACGGGTTTTCTGCGCAGTTGTGAGCAGATACAGCCGAAATCATTGGCCCCGAACTTTTTTTTTTTTTGCGCAAAAACCAAGCCAAAACGGCTCTTCTAGGTGTATTTGAACATGGGCCACTCAAATATTAATAACAATCAGGTTGTTGAATGCATGTCCCTATGCCTATAGGGATTCATGGCTCCCCTAAGCATTTGTCGGCAAAAACTATCAAAATCATTGGCGCCGAACTTTTCTTTGCGCATGAAGCAAGCCGAAAAAGCTTTAATAGGTGTATTTGAACGTGAGCCAGTCAAATACGCAAAAGCTTTAATAGGTGTTGAATGCTTTTGTCAGTAATAACGGACTGGAATGATGAACTAACAAGGATTGTGAGTACAAATGAGAAACCCTAATGATGTGACCCCCCTATAGGCTAACCCACTACAGCCTACACAAATACAACATGTATAATGTTTGACACACCCCCATAGGCAAAGTGGGGGAGACCTAGGGGTCACAAGACCAGTCAAGGCAAAGCAAGGCAACAACAAGCTCAGGGTGGATCTCAAGGATTCCACACAAATTCCGAGCACAAGCTAGTGGTCACAAGACCAGTTCACATGCAGGTTTATAACAGAACAAGAGATACAGTGATCACAACCTAGCAAGAGTAAACATGCAGGTATAGATATATATAGTGATCACAGTACAAGCAAAGTCAAGAGGTAAGTAAGTGAGGTCCAGTAGGCACAAGGCCTAGTAGAGTGCAAAAGCGCTGATGGTCACGAGGCTGAAGCGCCTTGGTGAACACATCAGCAGTGTTGGCCTCAGTGGCCACGTGACGAATACAAAGCTGACCGCGCTGCTGCAGCTCACGAGCAAGGAAGTACCGCAGGGCGATGTGCTTCGTTCTGTGCTCCAGTCTGTGCTCCTCACACAAGGCAATGGCAGCCTTGTTGTCGACGTACAGTACTGGAGGAGAACGAGGCGGCTCTCCGAGGTTGGTCAGCAGGTAGGTCAGCCAGCGTAGCTCCTGGGCAGCCATGGCTGTAGCGTAGATCTCAGCCTCGCAACTGGAGCCAAGAACAGAAGAAGAGCGTGTAGAGCGCCAAGAAACTGAGCCAGAGCCAAGGCTGAAGGTGTAACCCTGAGACGACCGCTGAGTGGCCTGGTCGTCTGCCCAAGAAGCGTCTGAGTGCCCTGTGAGAACAACTCGGTCTCGCCCTCCAAGCACAAGCCCCATGCCCGACGTACTACACAAGTAGCGCAACACCCTCTTAGCGGCATCCATGTGCTCCTTCCTGTGACGGCCAGGAGCGACATAGCGTGCAAGGATGCTAAGAGGGTATGCAAGGTCAGGTCGAGTGCAGGTCATCAGGTACATGAGGCAGCCCACAAGCTCTGGATACGGGCCACTCGGCTCTACGGACTCATCCGAAGGCAGAGCTGAGAGCGAGTGACCGGTAGGCAGAGGAGTGGACTAAGGCGAGGAGTACGTGAAGCGGAAGCGCTGGAGAACCTGCTGCACCATGTGTGACTGAGTCAGGGTGATGGTGCGCCGTGCTCTGTCCCGGGTGATCCGCAAGCCAAGATAGCTTGTCAGCTCACCCAGGTCTGTGCACGTGTGTCTCCTCTGCAGCTCCGACTTCACGTAGGCGAGTCCTGCAGTGTCAGCAGTGGCAAAGACCAAGTCGTCGACGTACATGAGGATGTAGAACGGCGGCAGCGAAGTGTCGGTGCGCAGGAACAGCGACGGGTCAGCTGTAGAAGGCGCGAACCCAAGAGCCGCAAGTGTAGTCCTCAGTGTGTCGTGCCACTCACGCGGAGCCTGGCGGAGACCGTAGACCGGCCGCTGAAGCCTCCACTGGGTACCAAGAGGAAACGACCCAGTGAAGCCAGGTGGGCGGCGCAGCCAGATCTCCTCGTGCAGGCTGCCCTGCAAGAAAGCAGTGCTGAAGTCAAGTGAGTGAAGCTCGTAGTCGCGGTGAGCGGCTATGTGCAGCAGCACCCGAAGAGTAGTCATCTTTGGGGTGGGGGAGAAGGTCTGGAAGAAGTCAACCCCTCTCGCTGACTGAAGCCTCGAGCCACGTAACGCGCCTTGAAGACAGGCGGAGAACCCGGCGGCCGCTTCACCCTGAAAATCCACATGCCACTGACGATGTTCGCCCCAGGAGGGGGAACCTCGTCGACGTAGGTACGTGTGGACTTCCAGGAAGCCATCTCGGCGTCCATGGCTGTCTGCCACTGAGAGGAGTAGGGACCCGCCATCGCCTCAGCGTAAGTGCGCGGGGTTGGGATGTCTGGTGCATCCGGGTCTCCCTCAGGGGCAACTAGCAAGGACACGAGACGGGGCAAAGCAGCAGCAAGACACTGGAACTCCTCCTGTCTGTCCTCGAGGACGTCCGTGCCAAGAGCACACTCACCCCCGACGGACGGAGGACAGACAGACTCAGACTCAGACTCAGCAACAAGGCTAGCAGCGTAGTCTAGACGACAGGCAGCAGCAAAGTCAACCAACTCAGCGACCAGAGCAGACGCAGCCGAGGACTCAAAGGTAGGGTCAGTGACAACAGTAGCAAGGAGACGCGTGACAGTAGGGTGCTCAGCACGATACCGGTCAGACTCAGGGTCCGGAACGGCAGGCAAAGAGGACGCAGGAGGAGACGGTAGAGGGACACGCTGAGGAGCAGTAGAGGGATGCAGAGTCATGTAGTGAGTGCCTGGGACAGGAGGAGGACGCTCACGACGGACACGACTACCAGTGCGAGCAGGACGAACAGGCGACGCAGGACGAGACTCAGGCTCACGACGCTCTGTAAGACCTCCTGTGGGACCAGTGTAAGGAGAGGGAGCAGGGAGAGGCGAGGTAGGCGGTAACTGTGACTGCGGCTGGACAGGTGGAGGACACTCTACGGAGGGAGGAGGACAAGGAGGAGGAGCCTGCCCAAGAACCTGCTGAAGGAGCGGTACGAAGTACGGTCGCGGCCGCGCAGCGTCTCCGGAAGCAGAGGAGACTCCAGCGGCCGGGTCCTCAGTACCAGTAGGAGCTCCAGCGTCCGGGTCCACAGCACCAGCAGCAGCTCCACCGGCCGGGTCCTCAGCACCAGTAGTAGCTCCAACGCCCGGGTCCTCAGCAACAGCAGCAGTGCCACCGCTCGGGTCCTCAGCTCCAGCAGCAGCTCCACCGTCCGAGTCCTCAGCACCAGCAGCAGCTCCACCGTCCGGGTCCTCAGCACCAGCAGCAGCGCCACCCCGCCCGGGTCCTCAGCTCCAGTAGCAGCTCCAACGTCCGAGTCCTCAGCACCAGCAGCAGCTCCACCAGGCGGGTCCGCAGCACCAGCAGCAGCTCCCACGTCCGGGTCCTCAGCACCAGCAGCAGCGCCACCCCCAGGGTCCGCAGCACCAGGAGCACCACTCCGAAGACTGCAGCGCCGTGTGTACCACTCGCGGATCTGCTGAATGGGGGGGAGCTCCTGGGTAGGAGGGGAAGTACCGGGACGAGCTCCAGCAGCACCTCTCCGGAGGCGGCAGTACTCGAGGTACCTCTCCTGCAGCTGCTGGGAGGAGAGGGCTCCTCCAGGTGTAGCACGCTCAGGCTCAGCACCCCCAGACTCAGCACCCCCAGACTCAGCACCTCCAGGCTCCGCACCTCCAGGCTCCGCACCTCCTAGCTCAGTAACCCAGGCTCCGCACCCCCAGACTCAGCACTCCCAGGCTCAGCACCCCCAGACGCAGCACCCCCAGGCTCAGCACCCCCAGACGCAGCACCCCCAGGCTCAGCACCCCTAGCAGGACGAGAGTCAACAGCTACCTCGACAGGCTCACCCGGGTCTACCTGGGACACACCTGAGGGAGCGGCACCCTGAGGGGGGAGGGGGTCTGGTACCTCAGCACCTGGAGCGAGGAAGAGAGGCGGGGGGGGAGCGGGGCAGTGCGGTAGGGGAAGAGGCGGTAGTAGGGGACGGACTCGTCAAAAGTGACGTCCTGAGAGGCAAGGACACGACGCGAGGTGGGGTGGTAGAACTGCCAGCCAGGGGCGTCCGGGACAAAGCCAAGGAAACGCAGGGGACAGCGCGACGGGAGAGCTTGTCCGCGGACGTGTCGCGGACAAAAGCTCGGGATCCCCAGACCCGAAAACGCGACGCATCGCCAGCCTCTCCCGTCCAACGCAGTGTCGGAGAAGTCTCGGGCAAGGAGACACGGGGCCAGAGGTTGAGCTGATGCGCAGCGTATCGGACTGCAAACGGCCACAGAAAATGGGGGGCAGCCGCATGGCTCAAGGAGGTACGAGCGACCTCCATGACCAGACCAATGCGGCGCTCAGCAACCCCATTCTGCTGTGGAGAGGCCGGAAGCGTGTACGACTGCTCAATGCCCTCCTGCTGACAGAAGGCCTCCAATAGGCCAGAGGAAAACTCCCCACCTCTGTCAGAGTGCAGACGCAGGACAGGAAGTCGGAGCGGAAACGCTCACGGAGCTGGAGACGAGATCTGCGGATCCAAGGGATCAAGACATCAGGGACGTCACCCTTGGCGCGCAAGGGGAAGACCGTGGTGTAGCGCGAGAAGTCGTCAACAACAATCAGGAAGTACCTCTCCTGACCCTGACCACGGACGCGGGCTGGGCCCCACACGTCCATGTGGAGCGTCTGCAAGGGAGCAGTCGTCGGGGGAAAGGAGGAGGAGTGAGGAGCGGCGCGCTGCCGTCCCTCGACACAGGGAATACAGGGAGGAGCAGGCGAGTCGGGAAGGGGAGGGAGCACCCTGGGAAGACCAGCAACAAGGTCCCGTTTGTGCATGGCCCGAAGGCGCTGCACAGACGGGTGACCAAGGCGGTGGTGCCAAAGGACAGTCTCATGCGCCAGAGAGCGACACGAGCAGGGGGCGGACAGCTGACCTGACGCAGACGCAGACGCGGACGCAGCTACCTGAGGGGACTCAGTGGTCAGTGTGTAGAGGTCCGACCCCGGCTCCCGAGTGAAGGTAGCCAGGTGGCGACCCGTCCGAGCACACGTGCAGTGTGTCACGCGCTCGTAGGCAGGGGTGAACTGGTGAACACCCCCGTCCTGGAGCGCACTACCTGCCACCAAGTTCGTAGAGAACGAGGGGAGGTAGAGACCTGACAGCGTGCCGGACGGGACCGCCGGACAAGGAAGGACAGTGGAGGAGGTCGCAATGACCGGACCCCCAGAGGGGTCAGCAAGGGAGACAGCAACTGGCCGAGCGAGTGGCTCAAGGACAGTGCGGTCACGAAAGAAGGAGCGAGAAGCACCTGAGTCCAGTGTGAAGGTGTGCAGTGCTGCAGTCGACTCAGTACCAAGGGGCACAGACGCACGAGCACCTAGGGCAGCGGCCTCACCAGGACCTGTGGGAGCAGACGCACTAGCACCTAGAGCGGCAGCCGGACTGGCCTGAATGCCCGGGTCGGGCGGAACACGCAAGTACTGAGCACCCTCTCCACTAATAGACATCGCATACATGGCAGTGAGAATAGCATCAAAGTCTAAAGCCCAAATATCAACGCCCCTCTTTTCCAGATCAGCCCAGCGCGGCAGCTCAGTGGCAGCAGGAAACTGAGTGCGCCACGCGTCGTTAAGGCGCGCGAAGCAGCGCTGCGTGGGGTGCGGCCTCCCACACTGCTGACCGCTGCGGTCACCTGTGCGAATGACGTACGTGCAGGTAACGCTACGCTGCGCATACCACTCACGGGCGGCCTGAAGTGTCGGGGCGGGCTGCTGACTCTGCCCTCCGCCAGTGCCTCCACGACCACCACCCCCACCGCCGCCACCCCGGCCACCTCCACCCCTGCCGCCGCCACGACCACCTCCGCCTCCGCTGCCGCCTCCACCACCACTCCCGCCGCTGCTGTCTCCTCCCCCACTGCCGCCACTAGTCTCCCCAGCCGCGCCTCCACTCGCACCGCCTCCACCCCCACCTCCTCCGCCACCACCCCCACCCCTGCCCCCCTTGTTCCTGCGGCGCCCGCTCGAAGCAGACGCGGTCCCGACCTTCTCAGCACCAAGAAGGTCGACAGCAGCAGCAGAGGCGACAGAGGGGAGGAGGGGGGAAGGGGAACACCCCTCAAAGAACGGGGTGCGGGGGTCGCCACGAGAGGTGCCTACAGCGACGATGCTCGCCTCAGCTGCAAGCAGTTCCTTCTCGAGGAGGGCAACAGTGAGCTCAGTGGGGGAGCGAGAGAGGAAGTGGTCCCTGACTGCGCGCAGAGAGTCAGGGAGGCGGGTGACGATGTGGTAGAGAGTGATCCAGAGCGGGGGGGGGTTGCTAGTGAGAAACTCGGCAGGCATAGCAGCGCGAAAGCGGGCCTCACTAGTCTTAAGGTGGGTGATGAGGTCTGCGACAGTGTGAAAGGAGGCTAGGTCGGGGAACAGGTAGGGGAGAGTGAGGCGGCCTAGCGTGGCAGAAGCGGGTGAGGAGTAGCGGGCAACTACAGCGGTGTAGAGGTCCTTAGCAGTCTTGCACTGGCCGAAGTGCTCGCGCTCGTCTAGCGGCAGGGAGTTGCGAATAGCAAAGCGAGCGTGCGCATCACGGGTCTGCCACTGGGAACGCAGAGTGCTGTCAGCAGACGAGTCAGGGGCAGTGACTTCACTGGCCATCGAAGTAGAACTGGCGGACTAGCCATAGTGACAGTAGCAGTAGTAGTAGTGGCAGTAGTAACAGTAGTAGTAGGAAGCGTGGCAGCAGGAACTGCAACGGCGCACTGGTGGCAGCTGCAGTGGTAGCAGTGTGCGCGGTAGGTAGAAAAGAAACAGCAGTGAGATCGAGTGCCTCGCGGGCAGCGGCTGCAGAGGCGCACGGGCAGCAGCGGTGCACAAGCAGCAGCGGAAGCAGCGGCGTACTAACGGCTGCGAGCAGGCGACGAGCGGCTGCGGGCGGGCAGCCGCTGCGACGGCGGGCTGCGGGCCTGCGGGGCGTGCGCGAGCGGCAGCGGCTGCTGGCCTGCGGCGCACTAGCGGTAGCGGGCGACTCGCGGGCGGCGGCTGCAAAGGCGCACGGGCGGCAGCGGCTTATGCGCACGGGCAGCAGCGCCGACAGCGCACGGGCGGCTGCAGCAGCGAGCGGTGCGCAAGCAGCAGCGGCAGCAGCGCACAGGTGGCAGCGGCGTCGGTGCACGGGCGGCAGCGGCGTCGGCGGACGGGCGGCTGCGGGCAACGGGCGTGCGGCAGCTGCGGCGGCGAGCTGCGGGCCTGCGGGGCCACGGCGGGGTGCGCGCGAGCGGGCGACGGGCGGCTGCAGCAGCGGGCGCGTCAGCGAGGCGCACGAGCAGCGCGCGGGCAGCGTGCGGGGCCGCGCGTAAAGAAAAAACAGTCGCGCGCGTGCGGCTAGCGGGGCGCGCGCAGCGAAATCGACCGCGCGCGGGCGGGTAGCGGGATACGCGCGCTAAAAAAAAGAGATCGAGTCGCGCGCGGGCGGCTGGCGGGCTGCGCGCGCGCGGTAGGTAGGAGGCGCACGAGGGCGCGTAGGCGCACGAGGCGCACAGTAGGTAGGTAGGTAGGTAGGTGGGCCCTAAGAACGGTCCTAGCGAAGGACCTGCTCTGAAACCATGTCAGTAATAACGGACTGGAATGATGAACTAACAAGGATTGTGAGTACAAATGAGAAGCCCTAATGATGTGACCCCCTATAGGCTAACCCACTACAGCCTACACAAATACAACATGTATAATGTTTGACAGCTTTTCCCTGCGCCTATAGAGATTCACGGGTTTTCTAAGCATTTCTCGACAAAAACAGCTGAAATCATTGGCACCGAACTTTTCTTTGCGAACGAACCAAGCCGAAAAGGCTCTGGTATGTGTATTTGAACATATTTGAATATGCAATAACATTCAGGTTGTTGAATTTTTACTAATCATAGGCAAGAATGTTTTCGCCAAGGAATCATAGGCGCCGAGCTTTTGTTTGCGCGCAAGCTGAAATCGGAGGCACTGGCTGGTACTGTATTGATGCAGGCCGCTGGCTGCGTAGTCAATGATCATGCTGACCGCAAGTTAGATCCTTGCGTGCAGTGCACCCCGTTAACGTACGTCGGCCATCATGGCACTAGTTCCTCATCAAACTTTAATATTATTTACACTCTCGGGTTGTATTAGCCTTTGGTTCGGTATTATTGCTCTACACCCCGTCCCTACTCTTAGCTGTTATTTTTCATTTGGAGCGTTGAATCCAGGGTGTGTTTGTCAGAAGTCTAGGCAGGAATGAGAAACAGGAAAGAGGGTTTTCACTAGCAGGCAGTTGAGTACATATAGCAAACCCTAATTTGGGCTATACTCGCTATAGAGTACCCCACTGCAGGCTAGACAAACATCACATTCTGACACACCCCCATAGTCAAAGTGGGGTATAATCAGCACAACAAGCAGGCAGAGCAATAGTTCACAATGATAAGCAAAGCTAGAAGCTATCACAGAGGGCAAGTGAGGAGGAGGAGAAATTGTGGGGGGCGAGAAGATGGGAGGCGATGGCTGAAGCTGCAGACACACGGGCAACAGGAGTGCGCAGCACTGTGGCTACCAGGCGCAGAGCCCCGGACTACACGGCGACAGGCGCAGCTGGCTCTCTGTGCTCCCAGGAGTGCTCTGCAGCACTTTCGCTACCAGGCGCAGAGCCCCGAACTACACGGCGACAGGCGCAGCTGGCTCTCTGGACTACAGGCACTGCGGTCGACAAGACGGCTGCCTCCACTCAACTTCCCCCAGCTGTCCCACACCCCTTTCACACACCCCTTGCTGTACCCCTAGCACTGCTCACACGCCACCCCCCTAGTACCACTCCGACGGCTCCCACACATCCACCCCCCTCAGCGGCAGCTGCAGCAGTGGGAGACGGAGGAGGAGGAGGAGCAGGGGAGGCCTCACACACCCGTCACCCCCTTACTCGCCACCCCCAAACCCTAACACAGGCAGCACGGGGCAGGATCGGGTGCGCGCACGGCAGGGCAGGTGCGCGCGGGCCTGGCGCAGGCTGTACGGGCCGCGCATGGGCCTGGCACAGGCCGTACGGGCCGCGCGCGGGCTGTACGTGTCGCGCGCCGGGCCTGGCGCAGGTTGTACGGGCCGCGCGCGGGCTGGCGCAGGCCGTACGGGCCGTGCGTGGGCTGTACGGGCTGCGCGGGGGCCTGGAGCAGGTCGTATGGGTCGCGCGCAGGCTGTACGGGCCGCGCGCGGGTCTCAAGGGCGCTTCGACGGGCGACGGGGGGCGACGCGCAGGACTGCGGGGCGACGCGACGGGCTCCCGGGGGGCGACGCGCTGGTCGACGGGGCAGGAAACTGCCGCGCGCCCCGAGCGCGCGGCGGGAAGAAAAAACGCCGCGCGCCCTGAGCGCGCGGCAGACAGAAAACATCGCGCGCCAAGGGCGTGCGATAGGCAGGACAGCAGCGGAAGCATAAGGTGGGACCACCCACAGGATCGACCCAGGAGGGTCGACCTGCTCTGATAGCATGTCAGAAGTCTAGGCAGGAATGAGAAACAGGAAAGAGGGTTTTCACTAGCAGGCAGTTGAGTACATATAGTGTCAAACATGTATGCTGCATATTGTCTAGGCTGTAGTGGGGTAGCCCATATGGGGTACAACCAAATTAGGGTTTCCTACTTGTACTCCTGCATGCTGTTAGTTCATCATTCCTGCTGCCAGATTCTAACATGGTATCAGAGCACTAAGGTCCGTAGGACCGTTTTTTTTTTCGGGTCCTGGTGTGCTGCTGCTCTAGGTGCCGGTACGTCTCCTGCTCCAGGTGCTGGTGAGTCTGCTCTCTCTGGGTCTGCGCCTGCTGCGGCCTTGTACACCTTCACGCTGGACTCAGGTGCTTCCCGCTCCTTCTTTCGCGACTGTACCACACTCACGCCGCTTAGTCGGCCGGTTCCAGTCTCCCTGGCGGACCCCTCCGGGGGTCCGGTCCTTGCCCACTACTCCACGGTTCTACCGTGTCCGGCCGCCCCGTCTGGCTTGCTGTCAGGTCTTTACCTCCCCTCGTTCTCTACGAACTTGGTGAGTGGAGCTGACCTCCAGGATAGGGGGGTGCACCAGTTCACTCCTGCGAGTCAGCGAGTGACTCACTGTACGTGTGCTCGGACCGGCCGACATCTGGCCACGTTTACCCGTGCGCCTGGCTCGAGTCTGTACACCCTGACCACTGAGTCCCCTCAGGTAGCTGCGTCTGCGTCTGCGTCAGGTCAGCCGACGGCCCCCTGCGAGTGTCGCGCTTTGTCGCACCAGACCCTCCTGTGGCACCACCGCCTTGGTCACCCCTCGGTGCAGCGCCTTCGTGGCATGCACTCTCGCTTCCTGGTTTCTGGTCTTCCCAGGTCTTTGCCTGCCTTCCTTGCGTCGAGGGGCGGCAGCGCGCCACTCCTCACTCCTCCTCGTTCCCTCCCACAGAGGCTCCCCTGCAGACTCTCCACTTGGACGTGTGGGGCCCCGCCCGCGTCCGTGGACAGGGCCACGAGCGGTACTTCCTGCTGGTTGTTGACGACTACACGCGTTACACCACGGTCTTTCCCCTGCGCAGCAAGGGGGAGGTCCCTGCTGTTTTGATCCCTTGGATCCGCGCTGCCCGTCTCCAGCTCCGCGAGCGGTTTGGGACGGAGTTTCCCGTCCTGTGTCTGCACTCTGACAGAGGTGGTGAGTTCTCCTCTGACCTCTTGGCAGCCTTCTGTGCGGAGCACGGCATCACCCAGTCGTTCACGCTTCCGGACTCTCCGCAGCAGAATGGGGTTGCTGAGCGCCGCATTGGCTTAGTCATGGAGGTCGCTCGTACCTCCATGATCCATGCGGCTGCCCCCCATTTTCTGTGGCCGTTTGCGGTCCGGTACGCCGCGCATCAGCTCAACCTCTGGCCTCGTGTCTCCTTGCCGGAGACCTCGCCCACACTGCTGTGGACGGGGAAGGTTGGCGATGCGTCGCGTTTCCGGGTCTGGGGTGCTCGTGCCTTTGTCCGCGATACCACTGCGGACAAGCTCTCCGCCCGTGCAGTTCCCTGTGTCTTCCTTGGCTTTGTCCCTGACGCGCCTGGTTGGCAGTTTTACCACCCCACCTCGCGCCGTGTCTTTGCGTCTCAGGACGTCACGTTCGATGAGTCGGTTCCCTTTTACCGTCTCTTCCCCTACCGCACTGCCCCTCTCCCTCCCCCGCCGCTCTTCCTCGCTCCGGGTGCTCCCCAGGTAGACCCCCTCCCCGCTCCCGGTCCTGCTCCTTCAGGTGTGTCTCAGGTAGACCCTCCTCCCTTCCCTGCGCCGGTCGAGGTCACTGGTGACTCAGGTCCTACTGGGGGTGGTCCTGCTCGGGGTGCTACTTCTGGGGGTGCTGAGCCTGGGGGTGCGGAGCTTGAGAGTGTGGAGCCTGGAGGTGCTGAGCCTACGTGTGAGGGGTCTGGAGGTGCTGGAGCTAGTGGTTCTGGGGCTGCTGAGGGTGCGGGTGCTGGAGGTTCTGGAGCTGCTGGAGGTCCTGGTGCTGGTGGCGCTGGAGCTGCTGAGGGTGCTGGCGCTGAGGGTTCAGAGTCTGCTGTTGCGCGGTCTCCTTGGAGTAGCCGCCTTCGTCCACGTGTGCCTCTCACCTCACAGCAGCTGCACGACTGGTACGGTCGCCGTCAGGGTCGCGCTGCTGGAGCCCGGGGCTCTACTGCTGGAGGTACTTCTGCTGACGTCCCTGGAGCTAGGAGTGGTGCTGGTACTTTGTCTACTGGTGGTGCTGGAGTCGCTGGTCCCGGAGGTGCTCGTACTGGAGGTACTGGAGCTGCTGGGGCTGGGGGTGCTGCGTCTGGAGGTGCTGCTGCTGGAGACACCGAGGCTGGAGACCCTGGGACTGGAGGTGCTGGCTCTGGGGTACTGCTGCTGGAGGCACTGGGGTTGGAGACCCTGGGCCTGGAGGTGTCGGTTCTGCTGCTGGAGGTGCTGGAGCTGCTGGAGGTACTGGAGCTGCTGGAGCTGCCGGTACTGGTGCAGCTGCGCCGCCACGACTGTTCTTCGCTCCGCCGTCTCCGTCGTCTCTGCCGCCGCCTGACTCTGTTCTTCGTCAGGTTCTTACTCTCCCGTCGTCTACTGGACTTCCGTTACAGCCTGGCTCACCGCTGCCTGCTCCTTCTCCTTACACTGAGCAGACAGGTAGTCTTGCTGAGCGTCGTGAGCCTGCGTCGCGTCCAGTCTCGCCTGTTCGTCCTAGTCGTACCGGTCGTCGTGTTCCTCGTCCGCGTCAGCCGGCTGTCCCCGGCACACGCCTTGTAGCCCTGCGTCGGTCCCCTACTCCGGAGCGTACTCCTCTTCCGTCTCCCCCTGCGTCCTCTTTGCCTGTCGTCGCGGACCCTGAGTCTGACCGGTTTCGTGCTGAGCACCCTACTGTCACGCGTCTGCTAGCCACTGTTGTCCCAGACCCGTCGTTTGAGTCTGCTGCTGCGTCTGCCTTAGTCGCTGAGCTTGTTGACTTTGCTGCTGCCTGTCGTCTAGACTACGCTGCTAGTCTTGTTGCTGAGTCTGAGTCTGTCTGTCCTCCGTCCGTCGGGGGTGAGTGTGCCCTTGGCACGGACGTCCTTGAGGACAGGCACGAGGACCTTGAGTCTCTTGCAGCCGCTGCGCCTCATCTCGTGGCCATGCTGCTTGCCCCTGAGGGAGACCCGGATGCTATAGACATCCCCACACCGCGCTCTTACGCTGAGGCGATCGCGGATCCCTACTCTTCTCAGTGGCAGGCAGCCATGGACACAGAGATGGCATCCTGGAAGTCCACAGGCACTTACGTCAATGAGGTTCCCCCTCCCGGGGCGAACATCGTCGATGGCATGTGGATTTTCAGGGTGAAGCGGCCGCCAGGTTCTCCGCCTGTCTTCAAGGCGCGCTACGTTGCTCGAGGCTTCAGTCAGCGAGAGGGAGTTGACTTCTTCCAGACCTTCTCTCCTACCCCGAAGATGACTACTCTTCGGGTGCTGCTGCACGTTGCCGCACAGCGTGACTACGAGCTTCACTCCCTTGACTTCAGCACAGCTTTTCTACAGGGCAGCCTGCACGAGGAGATCTGGCTGCGCCGCCCGCCTGGCTTCACTGGGACGTTCCCTCCTGGTACCCAGTGGAGCCTCCGCCGGCCAGTCTACGGTCTCCGCCAGGCACCCCGTGAGTGGCACGACACACTGAGGACTACCCTTGCGGCTCTTGGGTTTGCGCCTTCTACTGCTGACCCTTCACTGTTTCTACGCACCGACACTTCGCTGCCGCCGTTCTATATCCTCGTGTACGTCGACGACTTGGTCTTTGCTACTGCTGACACTGAGGCCCTCGCCCTGGTGAAGTCCGAGCTGCAGAGGAGACACACGTGCACAGACCTGGGTGAGCTGCGCAGCTACCTTGGCTTGCAGATCACCCGGGACCGAGCACGCCGCACCATCACACTGACTCAGTCACACATGGTGCAGCAGGTCCTTCAGCGCTTCGGCTTCACCTGGTCCTCAGCACAGGCCACTCCTCTGGCTATAGGTCACTCGCTCTCAGCTCTGCCTTCGGATGAGTCCGTAGAGCCGAGTGGTCCTTACCCAGAGCTAGTGGGCTGCCTCATGTACCTGATGACTTGCACTCGTCCTGACCTTGCGTACCCTCTTGGCCTTCTGGCTCGCTACGTGGCTCCTGGTCGGCACCGAAAGGTGCACTGGGATGCTGCAAAGAGGGTACTGCGCTACTTGTGCAGTACATCGGGCATGGGGCTCGTGCTTGGAGGACGGCGAGAGGTGGTCCTCACTGGGCACTCAGACGCTTCTTGGGTTGACGACCAGGCTACGCAGCGGTCGTCACAGGGTTACACTTTCAGCCTTGGCTCTGGTTCTGTTTCTTGGCGTTCTACTCGCTCGTCTTCTGTTCTCAGCTCCAGTTGTGAGGCTGAGATCTACGCCACCGCCATGGCTGCTCAGGAGTTACGCTGGCTCACCTACCTGCTGACCGACCTGGGAGAGCGGCCTCGTTCTCCTCCAGTGCTGTACGTCGACAACAAGGCTGCTATTGCCTTGTGTGAGGAGCACAGACTGGAGCACAGAACGAAGCACATCGCTCTGCGGTACTTTCTGGCTCGAGAGCTGCAGCAGCGTGGTCAGCTTCGTCTTGCACACGTGGCCACTAGGGCCAACACTGCTGATATATTCACCAAGGCACTTCCGTCTGGTGATCATCAGCGCTTTTGTACTTTGTTAGGCCTTGTGCCTACGTTTCCACACTTGCTGTAGTCTTTTGTGTGTACTGTGTTCTATATTTATACCTGCATGCTTGCTCTTGCTAGGTATTGATCACTGTACTGCTCTTGTTGCTTATATATATCTCTGCATGTGGACTGGCCTTGCGGCCCTTTGCTTGTGCTCAGAATGTGTGGTGACGTTGAGATCCACCCTGAGCTTGCTTTGCGTCTCTTGACTGGTCGTGTGACCCCTTGTTCTCCCCCACTTTGCCTATGGGGGTGTGTCAAACATGTATGCTGCATATTGTCTAGGCTGTAGTGGGGTAGCCCATATGGGGTACAACCAAATTAGGGTTTCCTACTTGTACTCCTGCATGCTGTTAGTTCATCATTCCTGCTGCCAGATTCTAACATATAGCAAACCCTAATTTGGGCTATACTCGCTATAGAGTACCCCACTGCAGGCTAGAATCGCATTCTGACAGTGTTGAATCCAGGGTGCGTTGCATCCAGGGTGCGTTGAATCCAGGGTGTGTTGAATCCAGGTGCGTTGATTATAGGGTGCGTTGTATCCAGGGTGCGTTGAATCTAAGGTGCGTTTTATCTGGGGTGAATTGTATCTAGGCTGCGTTGAATTCAGAGTGTGTTGTATTCAGACTGCGTTGAATTTAGGGAGTGTTAGGGCGTGTTCCTATGGCCCCCTATCGGGCCACCTCCTATCAAGCTCGGGAAAAATCACACTGAAATTCGTTCTAACCCTAAACCCTTCGCGCATTTTACCAGGTAAGTCTGATAAGAGGTGCCTGATAGGGGGCTGTAGGAACGCGCCCTTAAATCCATGGTGCGTTTAATCCAGGGTGTTCCTTCTGTCTGTACTCCCATCCTCCCATGTCTATCGCATCCTCTCCTCTCATCAGCACCACCAAGCACCTCCCACCTACCGAGTTGGTGTCCCTGCGCTTCTCCTGACCTGCCGCTGGGGAGGTTTTGCCTGCTGCTGTTTCAAACATGTCGCGCCAATGGGAGGAGCCTTACAGCTTGTACAGATGAAGTGTGCTGTATGAATTGCGTAGAACGGCTTTTAAAAAGGGGTTCTTTTGAAGCATCTCTGAAATGATTCGGTACAGTACCAATTCATCTCTGCACCACTCATCCTAAGCTGCCCAGTCCGAAGTGCACTGAGATTCAAACTATAGTCAGCATGCAGGCAATCACATTGCTCGGAGTAGCTCTTATCAAGAAAAGGTTCTGCTTTGCTCTGCTCTGCACTGGCCTTGCCACCCCAAGTCTGTGATTCGTGAATCAGGGTGAGCGAATGAGGCGCCAACAGGCACGCACAGCAGGTGCCACCCACATCTAGGGTCACAGCACAGCAGCACTCTGGACTGGCGGCTGTAGTGAGTGCCCAATCAAGTGCCCATCTGACCACCTGCCCCACCTGCCCCACCCGCCCCATCCCCTCTCCCTGCCCCGCCTGCTGCACCCACTCCACCCGCTCCACCCGCCCCTGCCCCCTTCCCTGCCCCTCCACCCCCTCCTCCCTTCCCACGCCCTGCTGCTGCTGCTCCCCCTCCCCTGCCTGCCCCTGCTGCCCCACCCGCTCCTCTTCCTGCTCCCTTCCCCCCTCCCTTGCCCCCTCCCTTTCCACCTCCTTTGCCCCCTCCCCCTCCGCCCTTCTTCCCCTCGCCTTTCTTTCCCTTCCCAGTACCACCACCAGCAGCACCTTTCACCTCCCCTCCCCCTGCTACTGCCCCCCCTGCTGCCACACTGCTAGCCACAGCAGACGCAGCAGCAGCACCCCCACCAGCAGCACCAACACTCCCGGCACTCCCACCAGCAGAAGCGCTCATAGTCGAGCCCCTCCCCTTCCCACCTACCCCACCCGCACCGCCGCCCATGCCCCCACCAAACCCCCCATCGCCCACTCCTTCCCCCCAGCCCCTGCACCAGGCGCGCCCATTCCCCCCATGCCCTGCTTGCCCCCCATTCCCATCTCCGCACCCCCAGGGCCATGCTGCGGCCCTGCACCCCCCCAGGCAGGGACTCCAGAGGAAGGCATGGAGAGGGGGGGCACTCTAGCTGCTGCTGCCGCTGCTGCTGGCCCTGCCAGCGGACCAGAGGCAGGGACACGGTGGGGGAGGGGAAGGCGAGCACGTGCGGGAGTGAGGGCGGGTTGCCTGAAGAGGGGAGGCGGAGGGCAGAGAGCGTGGGAGTGAGCGGGGGAGGCATGGTGTGAGGGTGGGAGGAGGGCGAGGAGGGGACGTTGGAGTAGAGGGAGGAGTTGTGAGGGAGAGGAGGGGAGGCCCCGCCACTGGCGGTGGCAGCTGCGCCCATTGCAGTTGAGGCAGGTGGAGGGGGGTTGTTGAAGGGAGGGGAGGAGAGGTGTCGTGGGTCCGACACACTCAGCAGCAGAGAGCGGCGTGGGGCCTGCTGGTTCTGCTGTTGCTGCACTTGCTGCTGCCGCTGTTGCTGCTGCTGCTGCTGTTGCTGCTGCTGTTGCTGTTGCTGTTGCTGCTGCTGCTGTTGCTGTTGCTGCTGCTGCTGTTGCTGCTGTTGCTGTTGCTGCTGCTGCTGCAGCCGTTTCTGCTGCTGCTGCTGCCGGCGCCGTCGCTGCTGCTGTTGCTGCTGCTGCTTCCGCTGGGCGGCAGAGAGGGGGGAAGCAGACGGGCCACTGCCGGCCGTGTCAGCAGGAGTGCCGCTGAGAGAAGATGATGACACATTGGGGGAACTCTGCTGCTGCTGTGGTTGCTGTTGCTGTTGCTGCTGCTGCTGCTGCGGCTGCTGTTGCTGCTGCTGCTGCTGTTGCTGCTGCTGCTGTTGCTGCTGCTGCTGCTGTTGCTGTTGCTGCTGCAGGTACTGCTGTTGTTGGTGCAGCAGCAGCTGTTGCTGCTGGAACGTGGAGGCACCAAGGGGACTGTCAGAGGAGGCCAAAGAGCCCGACACATGCATCCCCATGCCGCCCTGCCCCATGCTACCCTGTCCCATGCTACCCTGTCCCATGCTACCCTGTCCCATGCCACCCTGTCCCATGCCACCCTGTCCCATGCCACCCTGTCCCATGCCACCCTGTCCCATGCCACCCTGTCCCATGCCACCCTGTCCCATGCCACCCTGTCCCATGCCACCCTGCCCCGTGTTGCCTTGGCCCATGCGGCCTCGCATCCCTCCTCCTCCCATCCCTCCTGCTCCTCCCATCCCTCCCCTCCTGTTCCTCCCATCCCTCCTCCTCCCATCCCTCCTCCTATCCCTCCTCCTCCCCCCGTCCCTCCTCCTCCCATCCCTCCTGCCCCCATCCCTTCCCCTCCTACTCCTACCCCGATCCCTCCCCCTCCTGCCATTCCTAATCCTCCTCCTCCCATCCCACCTCCTCCCCCTCCCATCCCTCCCCCCCCCCCCCCCTCCTCCTCCTCCTCCTCCTCCTCCTCCTCCTCCTCCCTCCTCCTCCTCCTCCTCCCCCCCCCATCCCTCCTCCTCCCATCCCTCCTCCCATCCCTCCTCCCATCCCTCCTAGCCCATCTATCCCATCGCCTACCATTTCCCCCCTTCCCCCACTTGTCCTACCCATTGCTCCACCCATTCCGCCTACTCCCCCTACAAGTGCCCCTATCCCTTCCCCCACACCCCCCATGCCCATGTTCATCCCCCCCCCTGCCCCCATTCCCCCGCCTGTCCCCATGCCCCCGCCTGCGCCCATCCCTCCACCCGCCCCCATGCCAGCAGCACCAGTGAGGCCCCCAGCTGCTGCTGCAGCCACTGCTGCTGCCGCTGCTGCCAGCGCTGCTGCCACGGACTCACTCCCGCCCATCTCCCCCATCCCACTCATTCCCCCCATCCCCCCCATGCCCTCCATACCCCCTACAGCCCCAAAACCCCCCAGTCCGCCCATCCCCCCCACGGCGCTCATCCCCCCGAGTCCAGCCATGGCACCTGCCCCCCCCAACCCATCCATCCCTCCACCAACCATACCCCCACCACTGCCAATGCCTCCCATCCCTCCCATCCCTCCCATTCCTCCCATCCCTCCCATCGCACCCATCCCACCCACAGCACCTGCAGCACCGGTCCCACCCGGCCCTGCCATATCGGTGGGTGCAGCGGTGGGGTCGTGGGGCAGGCCGAGGGACGCAGCAAAGGCAGCCACGGCTGCGGGTGGGAGCGGCGGACGCGTGGGGTGTGAAGGGCAGCGGAGGAATGAGGCCAGTGATGGCGGCGTGCTGGGAGGGGCAGGGCCAGGGCATGGGGGGTTGGGGAGGGGGAGTATGGCAGGCTGTGAGGGGCAGCAGAGGAACGCGGCCAGCGATGCTGGTGTGCTGAGAGGGGACAAGGGAGAGAGAGCAGGGGAGGGGAGGTGAGGGGGTAAGGCGGGCAGTGAAGGGAAGGGCAGGAACGCCACTAGTGACACTGGCGTGCTGAGCGGGGACACAGGAGAGAGAGCAGGGGAGAGGGAGGGCATTTGAGTGCAGGGAAGTGACGGGTAAGGCGAGCAGTGAAGGGCAGCGCAGGAACGCCACTGGTGACACTGGTGTGTGGAGAAGGGGAGGGCATGGGGCAGGTATTTGAGAATTCTCAAAAATCGCCTGGGAGGGCATGGGGGGGGGGTGGGGCACGGGAGCGGTGAGAGGTGTGGAGTACGGTTGAGAGAGTGGGGCTTTACAGAGTGGTTTGGCAGAGAGATGAGTGGTGGTGGGCGCAGCAAGCAGATGGAGACTGGACAGAGGGAGAGGAGAGGAAGAGCATGATACGAGCACACCACATGCACAGCATACAAGAGAGGAGCACATCGATAAGAGCATACCCTGTAAGAGCATACCCCATAAGAACATACCCCGTAAGAACATTCCTCGTAAGAACATACCTCATAAGAGCATACCCCGTACGAACATACCCCGTAAGAACATACCCCGTAAGAGCATACCCGATAAGGGAATCAGCCCCAGACAGCATCATCTCTACTGCCGCCATCTGCATCGCCTGCTGCCGCCGCTCCTCCCCCTCCCCACCCACGCCATCCCCCTCGCCGGCCAGCACAACCCCGTCCCCCGCACTCCCCACTCCCCCCTCGCCTCCCCCCACGCCCTTCACACCCCCCACGCCCACAGCAGCGAGGTGCAGCAGGTCACAGCGGTCTAAGCAGGCTGTGAGGGAGCGCCCCATGCGGGCGAGGCGGTGGGCCAGGGCGTCTGTCAGCACGGACAGGGCGCTGTCCGCTGCGCCCTCACACCCCACCTGCTGCAGCGCCGCCGCCACGCATGCCTTCAGCCGCGCCCTCGCCCGCTCCTCTCCTTGCTGCTGCTGCTCCTCCGGCTGTTGCTGCTGCTGTGCGTGCGTGTGCTCGTCCCCATCTCCCCGCCCTCCCATCCCCGCACTCACGCCCCACGACTGCTGTCCCACTTTTCTCCCCCCACCGGCACCCCAACCCGCGCCCCTGTGCGCGCCCCCCTGCGTGCGCCAGGGGCAGTGGAAGTGCCAGGGCGGGCGGGCAGAGGCCACTACAGGGTCGGGCACGGCATTAGCCAGTGCATCCATGTCCCAGTCATCAGGGCACACGCCCTCCCTCTCCCTCTCCCTCTCCCACACACCCTCCGCTTCACCATCCCCCTCTCCCTCCTCTCCTTCCACTCCTCCCTCCCTCCGCCCATTCCTCTTCTGCTGCTGCCGCTGCTGCTGCTGAATCAGACGAGCCATGCCGGCCGCTGTGCGCACGAGCGCCGCCCGTTCTCGGAAGGGCTTGCAGGAGTGCTTGGCGCGCTTCACAGCATGCAGCAGCCGCCACTGCCGTCGCCGCCGCCGCCTCTCCTCCCGCCTCCCCGCCTCCCCTTCCCCACCCCTCCCCCCTCCGCCTCCCCACTCCCCTTCTCCGTTTCCCTCTGCTTCCCCCTCTCCCCCGAGAGAGGGGAAGGCGGGGGAAGAGAAGGGGGCTGGGTAGGCGTCGTGGGATGTGGTGTGAGGTGCGCCCAAACCCACCCTGGCGCGATACGGGGGAACAGAATGTGTTAGACAAGGGAGGGGAGGGAGGGGTGCGGAGGGGGGCGGAGGGGAGGGAGTGGAAGGAGGAAAGTAGGAGCGAGAGCAATGGGAGTGGACACAGGAGGGTTAAGTGGTAAGGGCATGTGGTGCGATGTGGGTGGCACACGATGGTATGGCAGTGTCATGGCAGGGGCGTCATGACATGCCAGAGCAGTGGCACGAGGCGGCACATTGCATCACACCACCACACAGCACCACACAGCACTGCACGGACCTGCGGATGATGGCGGCGCTGAGGGGGCCTTCCTGGTGGCGCAATGTGGGGAGGGGAGGGGGGTGGTAGCAAGGGAACGGGGGACGGGGCGAAGGGTAGAGGGAGGAGAAAGGGAGAAGAGGGCAGAAGGTATGAGGAGCAAGCAAACCACCGCGAGTGGCTCCCCCCCGCCCAGCTGCGTTCCCCTCCCACCCAGCCGCGTTCCCCCCCACCCAGCTGCGTTCCCCCCCTTCCCCCAGTTGCGCCCCTCCCCCCACCTGGTGGCGGATGGCGCGCAGTACCGCCATGCAGTGGGCGGACGGCTGGGCGGCTGACAGCATGGTATGCCACTCGTCCACGTCATCATCCAGGCACGGGTACACGTCATCGTCTACTGAAGCATACACGTCATCGTCCATCAGCGGATTCTCCTCCTCCGCGCCCCTCCCCCCAATCCTTTGCGCCAATCCGCCCCCTGCCATCTCCCCCCAAGGTTCACCGGGCGCCTTTCCGCATGCTTCCCCCACCGCGCGCCCAAGCAGCAGCGATCGCGCGCGCAGCTGCACGCGGAGCATGGCGGGGGAGAGGTCCGCGCCTGCGGGGAACACAGCGAGGCACATGGAGGGGGCGGGAAATGGGGAAGGGGATCGGGTGGCGGGTGTGAGGACTTGGGATTTCGCGAGCCAAAAGAATCACAAGGCGACTGAAAAATATCGATGCGCCCGAAAATGCGCGTCTTTGATTGGGAAGGCACCAAATGGCGGCGGGTTGGGAGCTCGGAACGCGGGCAACGGCGACACGACCCGAACGAGAAGTGCGGAGGAGGGAAGAAAAGCGCACGCCCCTCACGCAAGAGCGCGCCTATGGGTTGAGACAACCCGACACGCGGCGCGCCCCCTCACCCTCCCGCGCATTCCCCCGCACCCACCAGCGCCAGCGGCGAACTCCGCCCATGTGTCTGGGTCGCGCAGCCACGGCGCAAGCAGCGCGTGATCCGCCTCCCCCAGCCACTCGCGCCACACGCCCCTCGCCTCCAAGCCAATAGCCACGCCATAATCGAAGGCCATTGCAGAGGGGTGCAGTCAGGTACTGATTGCGGATGTATGGAAAGACATTCGACGTGCTTTTATCAAGTGTGAGTAACGAAGCCCTCGAGTAATGCTAGTGTCAGCAAAGTTGGCGAACAAGTGAAAACTTCAGCATTTCCTACCGCGCAGCGGCCGATCATGGAAGCGACGTATTTGTGTCACAGACGCGCAAGCTGGTCCAACAAAATGAGAAAAGGGGTACTGCGAGAATCGAACTCGCGACCTCTCGCACCCAAAGCGAGAATCATACCACTAGACCAAGCACCCTATCCGCTGGAGACAAAACAATTATTATAGCTTTAGAAAACATCTTTAGCTTCTGAATAGGTGTAACTTGACCTTTCAAACAATGCCAAATGCGAGACGAGTGACACCATGACGAAGACAACTTCCTCCCAGAATTGATATTCGCCTTTTTGGCCAATCAGACATGAGAACGGCATCACACCAATCAGCTGAGCCACGGCAACCACGAGATGGGGCTGGTTACAGGTCAGCCGTGCTGGCGTGGGCGTGGGGTCATCCGCTGACACCCAAGCCCGAGCCACTGATGACGTAAACCCCCCAGTCAGGTTTGGCGTTTCGTAGGGTTACCACCTAAAGCGTATATTCGCGGTATAAGCAGGGTAATCCTATCGTTTTTAGGCGAGGTCAATGGGCGATGAGCACGTGGCGCATGAGGAATGCCAGGCGCTTGTCCCTCCCGCCATGAAGTTGAATGGATGAAAAGTGACGGTGTGCGCTACGATTGGCTAGCACAAACAAACCTGAATCGGTTGCGATTGGTCAGTGAACCCGTAACCGAGACTGATGTAATCGGCGTTGGTGCACCCTCGATTCTGGTTCGCTGGTGGCAAGATGAAGGCTTGCGGGCGAATGAAGGTCGATGGAGGGTCACGACGCATCGCTTGCCAATACATTTTCATGGTTGGAAATGTGATGTGGGTGGAGCATAAAAAAGGTTGGTTATACGGTGCAGTGCGATGTGCCACGGTCTTTGGACCAACAACAGACTCCACATGGCATGATAGCACAACGCAAGGATCGTGATTCCAGGTTGGAAAGAAAAAACATTGCGTCACAATACAAGGCACATCCATGAACGAATCACCTGACACAGCTGCTAGTGTGACGTGGCGCGTTCTACCATACCTGCTTCAAGCGCTGGGCACTAAGTCTAGGTGCTTTAGCGGCTCCGCTGACTCTTATCCACCGACAGGAGTAGCCTCCTTAGAAGCCCAGCAGCCTTTGGACTGGACTCAGCATGCTAACTTGCTCATTCTGTTCATTCGTGTCGTTGATACACACTCAAACCTCGCGCTCCTGTGAGCCGCTGTAAATATCCCCGTTATGAATTGACTGTTTCCCAGTTTAACAAATCGTAATTCCGACTCGTAGTAGCGATACGTTCAGCCGACAGTGAACGGGCCGTGCGCGTTACTTCCCTAGGGTACTGGCACGCAGGCTGCATGCCAAGACCACGACCACGCGTAGCAGCACTAGTGTCGGCAGTATCATGAGGCGCGGGGACGGGCGCGGGGACGGGCGCGTAGCGTCCCCCCAGCAGGTGCAGCACGCGCACAAGGGGCGCAGCCTGCCGAGCGTGCGGAGCGTGTCGGCGGGGCTGCTGCCGTCGTTCCGCGCCATCTCCAGCTACCTCCGCCATGTCTCCTCCTCCGCCGACTCCCTCGTCGCCTCCGCTGTCCGCTCCGCCTCCGCGTCGGTCGCGGCGGCCATGGCGCCGAGTGACGATAGCCAGAATAAGGAGCAGGTACGCGCCGACGCTTCATGAAAACAATCGAAGAAAAAACAAACAAACAAACAAAAAGAACGAGAAGGATGAAAGGGAAAACCGTTTTGGCGTACAGACCGGTTAATACAGACAGCGCACGATAGATTGCTCGAACTTGTAGAGCAGAGGTGGCGTTTGTTGCCAAGTAAGGTATTTCCTTCCGCCGTCCCGCCACGCCGCAGGTCACATGGGCAGGGTTCGGGTGTTTGGAGAAGGCGTCGTCTCGCGGCGCGTCCGTGCCCGTGTCCGGCACACGCCACGTGCTCCTCGTGGCGTACACCACGGGCTTCCACGTGTGGGACGTGAGCCAACCACACGCCCTGCAAGAGCTCGTCTCGCGACGCGACGGCCCGGCGGACTCGCTGCATCCCATCCCTTACGTCTCTAGAACCCCCCCGGATAGTCCGCTCCGCGACGCGCATCCCGTGCTCTGCGTCGTGTGCCCCTCTGCCGCCGCGCCTCCGCCTCTCTCGGCCGCAGACTTGGGATCTCCGAGCCTGTCTGCGCAATTTCCGTACCTGGATGACGATGAACCTTACGCTGACGTGGCAGACGGGGTCGACGAGCCGTACGCGTGCGGAGATGAAACGGGCGGCGAGCAGAGCGTGCTGCGGTTTTACTCGATGCGGAGCGGTTCGTATGTGCACTCAATTGCGGTGGCGGGGCGGGTGATGGGCGTGAGGAGCAACCGCAGCGTGCTGGCAGTGGCTGTCATGGAACAGGTGCGTGGTGGCTTCTCAGCTATCACGTTCCCCCCTCCTTTTCCCTGCTTCACAACCCTCCTGCTCCACTATCCCCCCTCCTTTTTTGCCCCCTTCTTCCCCTTCTCCCACCCGCCTCAACCCCTCCCCCTTCCCCTCCTCCCCCTTCCCCTCCTCCTCCTTCCCCCCCAGGTGTACATATACGATCTACCATCGCTGCACACGGCCTTCAGTGTGCTCACGCACCCGCACCCCCTCCCCTCCGCCCTCCCCGGCATCGCCCGCACGTCCCCCCACGGCGCCCTCGCCCTGGGCGCGCGCTGGCTCGCCTACCCCTCCAACCAGCCCCTCGCCCCCCCCGCCTCCTCCCCCCTCCCCTCCGCCTCCTCCTCCTCTGCCGCGGCTGCTGCTGCAGCGGGGGCAGGGGCGGCACTGGTGGCGCATTATGCCAAGGAGTCGGGGAAGCAGCTGGCGGGGGGGATAGCCACCCTGGGGGACCTGGGGGTGCGGGCGGTCGGCAAGTATTGGACGGACATGGTGGCGGAGCCTGCCAGTGGCTCAGGTGTTTCCAGCTCGTCAGGTGCTTCAGGTGCTTCAAGTGTTGCAGCAGGGTCGGGGTTTACATGGAGCAGCAGGAGTCCGGAGCACATGTTTGCGCCCGACTCACCCCAGGCGTCTGTATCAGGAGCGTCTGTCTCAGGAGCATCAATGTCGGGAGCGTCGGTATCAGGGTGGTCAACAGATGGGTGTGCGGACGGCAGTCCCAGGGCAGCAGCAGTGCACTCGCCCTCACCACCGCAGCTGCCCTCCATGCCACCTGTCGATCCCGGCCATGCTGGCAACGTGAGTGCTGCCCACCTGACCCCCTTTTTCCCCGGCACATGCCACCCTACCCCACACACCCTCCCCACACACCTACTCCACACACCCTCCCCACACACCTACCCCACACACCCTCCCCACGCACATGACATGTGGCAGCAGGAAGCGGGTACACGCTAGCCTCATAACCTGCTTCTGCCATCGCACACCATTTCCTCCACCCCACCCTCCTGCAATCATCCCTCACATGGAATGTGCATGTGTGCATGTGTGCGTATGTCGACAGGTGATGGTGCGGGACGTGGCAACGAGGGCAGTGATAGCGCATTTCAAGGCGCATGGAAGCGCCATCGCACTGCTGGCGTTTGACAGCTCGGGCACGCTGCTGCTCTCCGCCTCGCACGCCGGCCACTCCCTCAACGTCTTCCGCCTCACCCCCGCCCCCTCGCCCCTCCACTCCCCCGCCACTGCCAACACGCCACTCCTTGACTCACACCCCCAGGTGCTGCCATGCCGCTTTGCCGCCTCTCACCCTGTGCTCCCCTTGTTATACCTGCTCTGCTTGTACTCGTGCATGTAGTCACTTGCTTTTGCTCTCTTTGTCATGGCAGTATCCCTCTGTTTGCTCGCTGCTTGCTCAACTCTATCTCTCCCTTTCTCTCTTCACTGCCCCTGTGCCAAACTATGCCCTTCCTGTCCCATATATCTGTCGCCGCTCTCCTCCTCCCTCCCTCCACTGCAGTCGCCACCAGACGGCTGCTCCTATGTGCATTTGTACAGGCTTCACCGGGGCCTCACCAACGCGGTAAGGGAGCACTCTATGCCGAGTATACACAACAACCCTGCATGCATGGTTACAAGTTTGCTCAACTCCATGCCTGGTGCATGTGACGTGACCTCCTCATCACTCACCTCACTCCCACCATCCCCCTTACGCGCCCTTCTCCCCTCCTCTGCACACCCACCTGCCCGCCCATCTGCCTACCTGACTGTCTGCCCGCCCACACGCCCGCCCCTCATGCGTGACTCACAGGTGATACAGAGTGCAGCCATCTCACATGACAGCAAGTGGGTGGCCGTGTCATCAGCACGGGGCACCACACACCTCTTCGCCATCTCCCCTTTCGGAGGCCCCGTCGGCCCCACCACACACCTCCCCTCCGCGCCCTCGCCCACCCTCCTCCGCCCTGTATATACCCACTCCCCCGCCCTCCTCCCCCCGCCCCCCCCGCGCCCCTGGTGGTCCGCGCACGCCCCCCTGCGCGCGTCCCCCGCTCCCCGGCGCGTTCCCCCACGCATCCCCGCGCCAGTAGCACTCACATCAGTGGGACGCATTCGGAACGCCAACAGTGGGTGGCGGGGGAACGTGACAGGAGTGGCAGCAGCAGCAGCGGGACTAGGGGGAGAGATCCCAGGAGCTGTTGCTGCTGCTTTCCACTTTGGGGGGATGGGAGGTGGTGGGGGGTTTGGGACGGTGGGAGGGAGTGGGGTTGGTAGGCACCAGCAGCACCACCAGCAGCGGCACCAGCAGGTAGTTTCCAGACAGTTTTTCGGGCAGCCGGACTGGGTTCCGCAGCCAATAGCAGAGCAGCTGTGGGTGTTTTCCCCCTTGGGTCACCTGATCCGCTACCACCTCACTCCCTTCGCCGCTGCTGCTGAAGCCTCCTCCTCGTCCTCCTCCTCCTCCCCATCTCACCCCCACAGCAGCCCCATGCACGCACCCCACTCGTACACTCACCACCCGCACCAGCAGTACGCCAGCCACACATATGACCCCAGGGGCATATACATGCCGCCTCACGCCATGGGTTCCCACAGCAGAGCAGCGGGCATGCACCCTGGCATGGGTGCTACGGGTTCCGCCCCCGCGTTCCCCCCATATTCCCCCTTCCCCCCCGCGCCCCCCATGGCGCAGTCAGACTCGTCAGTGCAGGGGGGGCGCTCCTTTGAGCGCTTGCCCTCTCTGCCCGCCCTCGCTCTGCGCTCCGCTGCTGCTGCTGCGGGGATGAATATGAGGGGCGTGGGGGGGTTGGGGGGCGCGGGGAGCGGTGCAGCGGGGGAGGTGGTGGTGAGAGTAGCAGCAGAGGCGAGTGAGGTGTGGGACGTGTGCCGCCGGGTGAGCTGGAGCGACCGTGATGACCCCGTTCCCGTTGACAGCACTTGGGTTGGCGGCATTGATGCTACTGTTATCGGTGCTAATGCTGCTGGTGCTGCTGGTGCGTCAGGGGAGGCAAGGCAGGGAGCAGGGGAGGGGGCAAGGCAGAGGGTGGCGAGAGAGGAGGAGCAGCAGAGGGCGTATCTGATGCACGCGGAGGTGCAGCTGTCCACCAGCCAAGCCACGCCCCTGTGGGCGCGCTCCTATGTGAGTGCGCTGCTGCTTTCCTCAGTGTGGCTCAATGCATGGCGAATGATTCAACTTGTTCTACTCTACTCTGCCGTGCCACTGAGTGCTGCTGTGAATGCCTTGTGCCCTGCAGGTGCAACTACAGCCGGACGACCCACCGGCCCAGCAACAGCTAAAGGACCCACGGGGTAGCGGCGTTAACAGCACCCAGTCAGCACTGCCAGGCAGCACCACCACCCCTGCACCGCTGGCCACCGAGCCACCCCCTGTGCGCCCACCTGCTCCCCTTGCCGCTGGGGACTTCCCCCCAGTCTTCCCCTCCTCTGCCTGTCCGCCCACACTAGAGGGCTTTCCACAGACACGTGCGGAGCAGCAAGCTCAGCCGCACTTGGGGGTGCACAAGGGTGTGCACGTGGGGGTGCACGTGGGCGTGGAGCAAGGCAGTGGTGCCGTGCATGCCCCCCGACGCACCTCCGCCCTGGGTGGGCTGCTCCGCAACTCCCCGACTGCTATTCCACTGCTCCCACAGTCACTCTCACCCACACCCACAGTCACAGCCGCAGCCGCAGCCGCAGCCGCAGCCGCAGCCGCAGCCGCAGCCGCAGCCGCAGCCACTCATCTCGCAGCAGCAGCGTCAGCAGTGTCTGAAGCAGACCTGCCAAGTGCTGCTATTGCGTCTGGGACTCAGGGCAGCAGCAGCAGTGCGGGGGGCACAGGGAGCAGGGCGAGGGGGCAGGTGGTGCAGGAGGCACGGACGGGGCTGGGCGTGGCGCTGGAGCAGCCCAGAGGGGGGGGCAGAGGGCGCGCGCAGGGGGGAGTTGTGCATGGCGGTGGGGGAGGGCAGGTGGGGGGTGCTGGGGAGTGGACAGCGGTGGAGCCCGGAGGAGGAGTTGCAGCAGCAGGAGACGAGGAATGGATGGGTGGTGTGAGTGGTATGGATGGAGGGATGGGGGTTGCAGGAGGAATGCGGGGCGCAGGAGGGAGGTTGGGTGCTGTGTATGAGGAGGGGGGAGACAGCAGGGCGGCTGAGGAGGGGGATGGCAGGCAAGTGACTGGGTTACTGGCGCCTAGCTCCAGGGCGATAGAGGAACGCGGGGAGGAAGGGGAGGAGGGGCGGATGGGGTTTGATATGAGTGGGCGGCAGGGCGGCGAGAGAGGCGAGGCAGAGGGAGTGTTTGCATTCGACGACCCGTGGCTTGCTGCCCACCCACACACTCTAGGTGAGCTGCCCCTCTCTGCCCTTGCTGTCCCTTCATCCCACTCGTCCTCTCCGCCTCATCCTCCCCAACCCGTCCTCTTATCCATCCCCTCCGCTGTTCAAAAGCTGTTGATTTAGTCTGGCCAAGAGTGGCACCAACAGGGCTGTGTCTTCTCCCGCAGGATGTTGATTGCACGGTGCATCACACAAGCGACAGCCTGTCAGTCATGCGTGGACGATCAAAGGTTGCAACCCCAACTCAACCCAAGCCAAACCGTCTGTACCTCGTACATCACACTGCAGTGGTTTCTTAGCATAGGCAGCATGCCTATAGGCTTAGGCAGGGGCTAGCACGGCTGACATATTCCCAAGCAGCCCGCCTCAATCAGGAAGCTTCGAGCCCCAAGCCCCAAGCCCCAAGCCCTGACCGATGATCGTTCTGGACTGGAACAGGCGTGAGGGAAGGGCAGCCGGGGGCTGGGTCGTGCTGGAGGTAGCAGCGGCAGCAGGGAGTAGCAAGTGCAGCGCAGGCATGATTAGATTCTGCTCTGCTGGTCCTTTCTAGACAGCTCTGTACTGACCGTAGGCTCTGACAGATGTAGCTTTCTTTGTAGTGAAACCCGCTTTGTATACTCTATAACGAATACGAAGACCATGGGGGTTGTGACCCAGTGCCTACTACATTTTTCACTCCTTGTTCTCTCCGCGATTCTCTCGTATTTCTTACCCCAATTCGTTCTCGTTCCCTCCTCATTCTCTCCTGCTTCACTACCCGATCAGGTAAGCTGCATTTTTGTTGTTTTTCCGGGCTCTCGTACTCAAACCCCCTTCCCCCTCCTCCGATGTGTATCACCCCCATCCGACCCGTCTGTCCCATTCTCCTGTCCTTCTATGCTGCTGTGCTCTGCTGTGCCACGTGCTCCCACCCTCGCCACCACCCTCGCCACCACCCTCGCCACCACCCCCTCCACCACCCCCTCCACCACCATACCATCCACTAGCATCCGCCTCTGTGTCTCGCAACAGCAGCCCCGGCTCATCCCTCCATGCTCCCTCACCCCGCCTTACCCAACCGCACTACCCCACCTCCTCCTCCACTCCCCATTCAACATCATCATTTGCAGCAGCAGCAGCAGCAGCAGCAGCGTCGCCATCAGCAGCACTACTGTCAGCAGAAGCAGCAGCACCAGCTACGGCAGCACCAGGAGCAGAATCATCAGTAGCAACAACACGAGCAGCAGCAGCACCATCACTAGCAGCAGCAGCACCATCACTAGCAGCAGCAGCAGCAGCAGCAGCAGCAAGCGTTGCCTCATCACCCTCCTCCCAGCCCCTGGGGCCCCATCCCCAACACCTATCCTCCTGCCCATCGGCCCTCTCCCCCACAATAATCCTTCACTCCAGCCCTCAGCACCATCCCCCGCCCTCCTGTGCCCCCAGTAGCAGCAGCTGTGGTTGGTCTGTTCCTCACAACGAGGTGGGGGGAGAAGGCGAGGAGGGGGTGGATGAAAGCAAGCAGGGTGGGCGCGAGGAGGAGTGGAAGGGGGTTGTGCAAGAGCACAGGGTGCAAGAGCACAGGGTGCTGGAGCACAGGGTGCAAGAGCACAGGGTGTTGGAGCACAGGGTGCAGGAGCTGCGAGTAGGGGAGGATCAGATGGGGCAGGGGAGGGAACGAGTGGTGCCTGAAGAGGGGCAGGGGACAGGGCAGCAGGAGCAGCAGGAGCAGCAGGAGCAGCAGGAGCAGCAGGAGCAGCAGGAGGAGCAGGAGCAGCAGGAGCAGCAGGAGGAGCAGGAGCAGCAGGAGCAGCAGGAGCAGCAGCAGCAGCAGCAGCAGAAGCAGGAGTGTGACAGGGAGCATGGGCCAAAGGAGGTAGAGCAACAGCAGGCAGTGGTGGATGGGGGTGTAGTTGGTTCAGAAGGGATGGCACAAGGGGTGGCAGCAGTGGCAGTGGATGAGGTGTTGAGCCTGGAACTGGAGGGGGACGAGGAGATGGGACACGCATCCGTGCAATGTGGGGTGGGTGCGGTGGGAGTAGTGTCGCAGATTGGTGCTGGTGCGAGGGACGAGGGGGATGGTGAGGAGGAGAGGAGGGGCTGTGGAGGGTCAGTGGTTTGTACGGGAGGAGCACAGTGTGAGGAGGAAGGGACGGTGGTGTGTGAAGGAGCAGGTTCGAGGAAGGTGGAGGAGAGGGAGCAGGAGCAGCAGCAGACGGAAAGGCAGGAGCAAGCTGGTGCAGAGATGCAAGGTGGCATGGGGAGTGGTGGGCGTGGTGCGGACAGCAGTGGTGGCAGTACTGGCATTGCTGGCAGTGGTGCGAACAGCAGTGGGGAAGGCATTGGGGAGGTGAGAGGCCAACGCAATGCTGCTGAAGATTCAGCAATAGTCGAACCTGTTTCAGCTCCTTCACCTGCGGAGCCTGTCAAAGCTGATTCACCTGCCGAACCTGTCAAAGCTGGTTCACCTGCCGAACCTCTTTTAGCTGCGTCACCGCCCGCACCTGTCTTAGTGTCACCTGCCATACCTGCCTCCTCATCACCTGCCGCACGTGTGTCATCTGTGTCACCTGCCGCACGTGGCCCAGCTGGTTGCAGAGGCGCTATGAGCAGTGGCGAGGCGTGTGCAGCAGGTACAGGAGGGAGTATGGTGGAGGATGGGGCAGAAGTGACAGGGAGTGAGCAAGGAGGGCAGGTAGGGATTGAAGCAAGGAGTCCTCGTGCGGGAACTATTGCACGTGGTGCCATCAAGGCTGCTAGTGCTGCAAGCAGCATCAGCTGCAGTGGCAGCAGTGCTGGTGATGGTGTTGGTGGTGCTGGCAGCGGCAAGGGAATAGCGACAGCAGCAGCTGAGGTGCCAACAGTGCGAGCAAGGAAGGGGAAAAAGAAGAAGGTAGGTCTGGTGGTATCAGTCGCTGCTGCAGCACCAGCATTACAGGCAGCCATAAAGTCGGTTCCCAGCTCCGACTCTCTCAATGGCTGGGAGCTCTGACTGTTTGCACACTTGGTACGGCACAGACTTGGAACGGCACAGGCTTGGTATGGCACAGACTTGGTATGGCACATGCTTGGTTGTGCTGCTTTGCGCTCACATACCGTACCTGAGCCAGTGCGTGTCTGTGTGCCCCGTCACTGCAAGCAGTCCACTGTGCAGCAGAGCAATGGCCACTGCTCCTGCTGTGAAGCCAAGTCTCAAGGGACCGAGTGAGAGGTCTTTCAGACACAGAAGGAACTTTCATTATGTTATGTACCAATGACTATACATGTAGTACACTGCCTGAACGTGCAGAAACAACTTTCACTATGTTTATGTACATGGGACTATACATGTAATATTCTGCCTGTACTCTCTCCTCGCTCCTGTCCACTCCTGCTCACTCCTGCCCCCTCCTGCTCACTCCTTCCTGGCGCGAAAGAACACGGCAGCCACGGGCTTCCCCAGGGCAAACTCTTGTGCGAACTGGCGGGTCTTAAAGCCCTTGCGAGCAGCAGGTGTGTCGGTGGTGATGCGGTGGGGCTGGCGGAAGAGGGAGAGAACATAGCGGTGCACGCCCATGGGCGGGGTGGGGCCCTTGTAGGCCATCACTAAGTCGCCTGCACTGCTGTGTGCGAGGGTTGCTGCGCCTGGTATGTTCACCACCAGCCTGCATGCTCACACACACACACAGGGGAACGACTTGGTGTTATAATGAATGAGGTTACCTGGTAGTGCACGCATGCATGTGATAGTATGGGCTGCACTAGCAAGGCATGTGATAGTATGGGCTGCACTAGCAAGGCATGTGATAGTATGGGCTGCACTAGCAAGGCATGTGATAGTATGGGCTGCACTAGCAAGGCATGTGCAAAGCAGTGGCTGACGTGCATGCTGTCCCTGCTCCCACCTCCCCAGCAATCTATCCTCCCACCCTTCCGTACTCCCCTCGACCCCAGTTCCCAGAGCCACTCCCCCCTCCCCTCCCCTCCCCCCCCCTCCCCTCCTCCCCCCCTTCCCCCCCCCCCTCTCCTCCTTAGCCCCACCAGTGCAGCCACTCAGCCGCGACGGGGTTGTCTGGGCTGGGCGCATCTGGGTCTGACATTACCTGGGAGAGGGGGGAAGAAAAGGGGGGAAGAAAAGGGGGGAAGAAAAGGGGGGGAGAGGAGAAGCGAGGAAAGGTGTTAAGGAGCGGCAAGAAGGAGGGCGTAAACGGGGGGGCTGCGGAAGGGGAGGGGAAGGATGAAGGAGAGCACGGGAAACGGAGTGAGAAGTGGGAGAGAGAGGGGAGGGACCGGAAGGGAGGTGTTGGAAATGGGTTTGCAAGAAGGTGTGTTGGCGTTGACTCGTGAGTGAGGCGTTGACTGGCGTTGACTCACGAGTGTGTAGAGGTCCCCGTTCTCGTGTCGCCCTGCCAGCTCGACGTATGGCGCTTCGGCTGCCTCGCTGGGCTTCAACTCGTCACCGTTTCGCACCTCCCTGCCACCGTACTTCACCTGCCAGCACCACGCGATTCAACAGAGTCAACGCGGTCAAATCTAGCTTGCCAGACGGCAGCTTGCTCGAGGGAAATATATTTATCCTGCCCGAGGCGAGTACCTCTCCCTGCCCGAGGCGAGTACCTTTATCCCTGCGCGACGCGATACCTTGATGTCGAGCGACGGTACGAAGTCGTCGAGCACGTCGCCAATCACCTTGCCCTTCGCAAGCGCCTCGTGCGACGCTTCCATGCTGTCTGTTGCGGTGCGCGCGATTGCTGAAAGTTCGGAGAAGGGCGCGAATAAAGAGGACTCCCCAGGGATTATCGACACAGACGAAATGCAAGAACGAGATAGAAAAAAGAGGATACGGAAACAAGAAGTGGTGGAGGGGATGGAGGGGCGGGAAGCACACAGCGTGCGACAACGCGAAGCGAGGCTGACACGGGCGACGCGACTAGGAGCCAAACAGCACTTGGTGATGAATCCGAGGCATGCATGGGGAAGAAGGAATTCAATCAAGATTTGGGATGCACGTGCGATTCGCTTCTGAGAATCTGCTTGGAGTGAAACATGGCACTGTCAAATAATTGCATTCCACCATATAATAAAAAATACACACGGTAATAATGCTAAAATTTGTCACAAAACGTTACATTTCTAAATCTGCTGCTACGTCGCTCAGGGCTTGCTTGAATATGCGTACGCCCTGCATATCAGAACGAAATCACGGCCAGAAATAAGAGACGGCAGAAAAAGAAAACAAGAGACGTCGAAGGAAGCGGAAGGGAACCAAAGCGACGAACCTGGAGCGCAAAGATGACGTCGCTGGCACTGGCTTTGAGCACCACTTTGCACTTGGTTTGCGAGCGTGCAGCATTCCTTCCAGCTCCCACCACTTGCAAGAGAGCCTGTACGCAGGCAGGTGTGCATGGATGTCGCATAAGACGAAGGAAAAAGTCGAGAGATACATGAGATGAGAACATATGGAAAGCATGTTCAGGGAAAGTGTGACATAGCCTGAGCACAAATAAGTCTGTGATGTATATCCAGGTCCAATGTGTGTTCCACATGCTACCCCTTCCCCACAGTCCCTGCCCCACAGTCCCTGTCCCACAGTCCCTGCCCCACCCCAGCATCAGCATTATGCCCCACCCCACCCCACCTGCCTGTATCAATGCCGCAACCCACCGCACCGCACCTGGCCGTGCAGTATGGCGCACATGTCAGTGACCTCGTTGAGTGTGACGGCCGGCACATGCAGTGAGCGTGCCAAGCCCGCATACATGCTGTACAGCTGCCAGCGGGGTAGGGGGAAGTGAGGGAGGGGCCAAAATGGAAAAAGAACTCTTCTGAGGCGCCTCAAAAGACACCCGGCACATGCAGCGAGCGTGCCAAGCCCGTATACATGCTGTACGGCTGACACAGGGATAGAGGCAGGGGCATGAGTGCGGCAGGGGTGAGTGTGAGAGAGGAGTGGGCCAAGCTTTCTCTCTTTGTGGTTGCTTGTAGGGCATGCAGGACAGGGCTCATGCATGGGAAAAGGCTAGTGTAGTGAAGGGGTAGAGCGGGAGCGGGCTGGCGAGGCAAGTACCTGGGAGAGGAGAAAGTCGTTGGCGGTGGAGGGAGGCTTGGCCTTGGTGATGAAGCGATGCCGTGCCCTGTGCTGCTGGTGCTGCTGCACACACGCCACTAGCACCATCTGTGACGCAGGTAGGGGCAGTGGATTGGGTGTGGGGGCAGCACGGGATATGCAGAGCACATGGGGTGATTGGTACATGGGATGATTGACACATGGGGTGCTGGGCACATGGGATGATTGGTACATGGGAACCCATGAAATGGTGATTCTGAAATAGTGAGCAGATCGAGGGGGGGGCGACGATACCCCAAGGTCCTCTACAGGGTTGCAAAACCGCCACCAGCAACTCACAACACACAGGCACAGGTACCTGCTGGTGCAGTGGCAGGGAGCGGATGCAATCGACGGTGGAGGAGGCAAAGGAGCGAGAGAGGGCCTGCGCCATGTGATGCACCTCCAGCTGCACATGCAGGGACACCGCTTCCCCTCGCTGCACCCCCACCGCCTCTCCTCGCTGCCTCTTGCCCGTCACCTGCCCGTCTGCCTCCCTCTCTGCCGCCCGCTTGCCGCTCCTGCCGTCCCCTGCCGCCCCAGCAGCGCTGACAGCAGGTGAGCCTGCGGAAGGCAGGGCCTCCCTCGTATCTGCCTCCCTCGCATCTACCTTCCCCGTGTGTGCCTCCCCCGTGTGTGCCTCCCTGAGCTGCGACCTGAGCTCCGCCTCGAGCACATCCACTGCCATTCTGCGCGCACAGGGGTTTGCAGTGGGGGGGGAGAGCAGAGCAGGAGAGGGTGAGGAAAGTGAGATCGGGGGACAGAGCGTATGGGGGAAGAGAGAGGGGAAGAGGTTGGGGGAGAGGAGAGGGCAAGTGAGCAATGAGAAGAGGCAGGGCCATTATGACTGTAGCCAAGAATTTCAGGCTACCTTCCGGTAGGTGAGAGTGACGGGGCATTAGGTGCGGGACTGGGCATTAGGTGCGGGACTGGGCATTAGGTGCGGGACTGGGCATTAGGTGCGGAACTGGGCATTAGGTGCGGGACTGGGCATTAGGTGCGGGACTGGGAATTAGGTGCGGGACTGGGCATTAGGTCCGGGACTGGGCATTAGGTGCAGGACTGGGCATTAGGTGCGGGACTGGGCATTAGGTGCGGGACTGGGGATTAGGTGCGGGACTGGGGATTAGGTGCGGGACTGGGCATTAGGTGCGGAACTGGGCATTAGGTGCGGGACTGGGCATTAGGTGCGGGACTGGGAATTAGGTGCGGGACTGGGCATTAGGTCCGGGACTGGGCATTAGGTGCAGGACTGGGCATTAGGTGCGGGACTGGGCATTAGGTGCGGGACTGGGGATTAGGTGCGGGACTGGGGATTAGGTGCGGGACTGGGCATTAGGTGCGGAACTGGGCATTAGGTGCGGGACTGGGCATTAGGTGCGGGACTGGGAATTAGGTGCGGGACTGGGCATTAGGTCCGGGACTGGGCATTAGGTGCAGGACTGGGCATTAGGTGCGGGACTGGGCATTAGGTGCGGGACTGGGGATTAGGTGCGGGACTGGGGATTAGGTGCGGGACTGGGCATTAGGTGCGGGACTGGGCATTAGGTGCGGGACTGGGCATTAGGAGGTGCGGGACTGGGCATTAGGTGCGGGACTGGGCATTAGGTCCGGGACTGGGCATTAGGTGCAGGACTGTGCATTAGGTGCGGGACTGGGCATTAGGTGCGGGACTGGGGATTAGGTGCGGGACTGGGGATTAGGTGCGGGACTGGGCATTAGGTGCGGGACTGGGCATTAGGTGCGGGACTGGGCATTAGGTGCGGGACTGGGCATTAGGTGCGGGACTGGGCATTAGGTGCGGGACTGGGCATTAGGTGCGGGACTGGGCATTAGGAGGTGCGGGACTGGGCATTAGGTGCGGGACTGGGCATTAGGTCCGGGACTGGGCATTAGGTGCAGGACTGGGCATTAGGTGCGGGACTGGGCATTAGGTGCGGGACTGGGGATTAGGTGCGGGACTGGGGATTAGGTGCGGGACTGGGCATTAGGTGCGGGACTGGGCATTAGGTGCGGGACTGGGCATTAGGTGCGGGACTGGGCATTAGGTGCGGGACTGGGCATTAGGTGCGCGACTGGGCATTAGGTGCGGGACTGGGCATTGGGTGCGGGACTGGGCATTAGGTGCGGGTCTGGGCATTAGGTGTTGGACTGGGCATTAGGTGCGGGACTGGGCATTAGGTGCGGACGGGGCATTAGGTGCGGGACTGGGCATTAGGTGCGGGACTGGGCATTAGGTGCGGGACTGGGCATTAGGTGCGGGACTGGGCATTAGGTGCGGGACTGGGCATTAGGTGCGGGACTGGGAATTAGGTGCGGGACTGGGCATTAGGTCCGGGACTGGGCATTAGGTGCAGGACTGGGAATTAGGTGCGGGACTGGGCATTAGGTGCGGGACTGGGCATTAGGTGCGGGACTGGGCATTAGGTGCGGGACTGGGCATTAGGAGGTGCGGGACTGGGCATTAGGTGCGGGACTGGGCATTAGGTCCGGGACTGGGCATTAGGTGCAGGACTGGGCATTAGGTGCGGGACTGGGCATTAGGTGCGGGACTGGGGATTAGGTGCGGGACTGGGGATTAGGTGCGGGACTGGGCATTAGGTGCGGGACTGGGCATTAGGTGCGGGACTGGGCATTAGGTGCGGGACTGGGCATTAGGTGCGGGACTGGGCATTAGGTGCGCGACTGGGCATTAGGTGCGGGACTGGGCATTGGGTGCGGGACTGGGCATTAGGTGCGGGTCTGGGCATTAGGTGTTGGACTGGGCATTAGGTGCGGGACTGGGCATTAGGTGCGGACGGGGCATTAGGTGCGGGACTGGGCATTAGGTGCGGGACTGGGCATTAGGTGCGGGACTGGGCATTAGGTGCGGGACTGGGCATTAGGTGCGGGACTGGGCATTAGGTGCGGGACTGGGCATTAGGTGCGGGACTGGGCATTAGGTGCGGGACTGGGCATTAGGTGCGGGACTGGGCATTAGGTGCGGGACTGGGCATTAGGTGCGGGACTGGGCATTAGGTGCGGGACTGGGCATTAGGTGCGGGACTGGGCATTAGGTGCGGGACTGGGCATTAGGTGCGGGACTGGGCATTAGGTGCGGGACTGGGCATTAGGTGCGGGACTGGGCATTAGGTGCGGGACTGGGCATTAGGTGCGGGACTGGGCATTAGGTGCGGGACTGGGCATTAGGTGCGGGACTGGGCATTAGGTGCGGGACTGGGCATTAGGAGGTGCGGGACTGGGCATTAGGTGCGGGACTGGGCATTAGGTGCGGGACTGGGCATTAGGTGCAGGACTGGGCATTAGGTGCGGGACTGGGCATTAGGTGCGGGACTGGGGATTAGGTGCGGGACTGGGGATTAGGTGCGGGACTGGGCATTAGGTGCGGGACTGGGCATTAGGTGCGGGACTGGGCATTAGGTGCGGGACTGGGCATTAGGTGCGGGACTGGGCATTAGGTGCGGGACTGGGCATTAGGTGCGGGACTGGGCATTAGGTGCGGGACTGGGCATTAGGTGCGGGACTGGGCATTAGGTGCGGGACTGGGCATTAGGTGCGGGACTGGGCATTAGGTGCGCGACTGGGCATTAGGTGCGGGACTGGGCATTGGGTGCGGGACTGGGCATTAGGTGCGGGTCTGGGCATTAGGTGTTGGACTGGGCATTAGGTGCGGGACTGGGCATTAGGTGCGGGACTGGGCATTAGGTGCGGGACTGGGCATTAGGTGCGGGACTGGGCATTAGGTGCGGAACTGGGCATTAGGTGAGGGACTGGGCATTAGGTGCGGGACTGGGAATTAGGTGCGGGACTGGGCATTAGGTCCGGGACTGGGCATTAGGTGCAGGACTGGGCATTAGGTGCGGGACTGGGCATTAGGTGCGGGACTGGGGATTAGGTGCGGGACTGGGGATTAGGTGCGGGACTGGGCATTAGGTGCGGAACTGGGCATTAGGTGCGGGACTGGGCATTAGGTGCGGGACTGGGAATTAGGTGCGGGACTGGGCATTAGGTCCGGGACTGGGCATTAGGTGCAGGACTGGGCATTAGGTGCGGGACTGGGCATTAGGTGCGGGACTGGGGATTAGGTGCGGGACTGGGGATTAGGTGCGGGACTGGGCATTAGGTGCGGAACTGGGCATTAGGTGCGGGACTGGGCATTAGGTGCGGGACTGGGAATTAGGTGCGGGACTGGGCATTAGGTCCGGGACTGGGCATTAGGTGCAGGACTGGGCATTAGGTGCGGGACTGGGCATTAGGTGCGGGACTGGGGATTAGGTGCGGGACTGGGGATTAGGTGCGGGACTGGGCATTAGGTGCGGGACTGGGCATTAGGTGCGGGACTGGGCATTAGGAGGTGCGGGACTGGGCATTAGGTGCGGGACTGGGCATTAGGTCCGGGACTGGGCATTAGGTGCAGGACTGTGCATTAGGTGCGGGACTGGGCATTAGGTGCGGGACTGGGGATTAGGTGCGGGACTGGGGATTAGGTGCGGGACTGGGCATTAGGTGCGGGACTGGGCATTAGGTGCGGGACTGGGCATTAGGTGCGGGACTGGGCATTAGGTGCGGGACTGGGCATTAGGTGCGGGACTGGGCATTAGGTGCGGGACTGGGCATTAGGAGGTGCGGGACTGGGCATTAGGTGCGGGACTGGGCATTAGGTCCGGGACTGGGCATTAGGTGCAGGACTGGGCATTAGGTGCGGGACTGGGCATTAGGTGCGGGACTGGGGATTAGGTGCGGGACTGGGGATTAGGTGCGGGACTGGGCATTAGGTGCGGGACTGGGCATTAGGTGCGGGACTGGGCATTAGGTGCGGGACTGGGCATTAGGTGCGGGACTGGGCATTAGGTGCGCGACTGGGCATTAGGTGCGGGACTGGGCATTGGGTGCGGGACTGGGCATTAGGTGCGGGTCTGGGCATTAGGTGTTGGACTGGGCATTAGGTGCGGGACTGGGCATTAGGTGCGGACGGGGCATTAGGTGCGGGACTGGGCATTAGGTGCGGGACTGGGCATTAGGTGCGGGACTGGGCATTAGGTGCGGGACTGGGCATTAGGTGCGGGACTGGGCATTAGGTGCGGGACTGGGAATTAGGTGCGGGACTGGGCATTAGGTCCGGGACTGGGCATTAGGTGCAGGACTGGGAATTAGGTGCGGGACTGGGCATTAGGTGCGGGACTGGGCATTAGGTGCGGGACTGGGCATTAGGTGCGGGACTGGGCATTAGGAGGTGCGGGACTGGGCATTAGGTGCGGGACTGGGCATTAGGTCCGGGACTGGGCATTAGGTGCAGGACTGGGCATTAGGTGCGGGACTGGGCATTAGGTGCGGGACTGGGGATTAGGTGCGGGACTGGGGATTAGGTGCGGGACTGGGCATTAGGTGCGGGACTGGGCATTAGGTGCGGGACTGGGCATTAGGTGCGGGACTGGGCATTAGGTGCGGGACTGGGCATTAGGTGCGCGACTGGGCATTAGGTGCGGGACTGGGCATTGGGTGCGGGACTGGGCATTAGGTGCGGGTCTGGGCATTAGGTGTTGGACTGGGCATTAGGTGCGGGACTGGGCATTAGGTGCGGACGGGGCATTAGGTGCGGGACTGGGCATTAGGTGCGGGACTGGGCATTAGGTGCGGGACTGGGCATTAGGTGCGGGACTGGGCATTAGGTGCGGGACTGGGCATTAGGTGCGGGACTGGGCATTAGGTGCGGGACTGGGCATTAGGTGCGGGACTGGGCATTATGTGCGGGACTGGGCATTAGGTGCGGGACTGGGCATTAGGTGCGGGACTGGGCATTAGGTGCGGGACTGGGCATTAGGTGCGGGACTGGGCATTAGGTGCGGGACTGGGCATTAGGTGCGGGACTGGGCATTAGGTGCGGGACTGGGCATTAGGTGCGGGACTGGGCATTAGGTGCGGGACTGGGCATTAGGTGCGGGACTGGGCATTAGGTGCGGGACTGGGCATTAGGTGCGGGACTGGGCATTAGGTGCGGGACTGGGCATTAGGAGGTGCGGGACTGGGCATTAGGTGCGGGACTGGGCATTAGGTGCGGGACTGGGCATTAGGTGCAGGACTGGGCATTAGGTGCGGGACTGGGCATTAGGTGCGGGACTGGGGATTAGGTGCGGGACTGGGGATTAGGTGCGGGACTGGGCATTAGGTGCGGGACTGGGCATTAGGTGCGGGACTGGGCATTAGGTGCGGGACTGGGCATTAGGTGCGGGACTGGGCATTAGGTGCGGGACTGGGCATTAGGTGCGGGACTGGGCATTAGGTGCGGGACTGGGCATTAGGTGCGGGACTGGGCATTAGGTGCGGGACTGGGCATTAGGTGCGGGACTGGGCATTAGGTGCGCGACTGGGCATTAGGTGCGGGACTGGGCATTGGGTGCGGGACTGGGCATTAGGTGCGGGTCTGGGCATTAGGTGTTGGACTGGGCATTAGGTGCGGGACTGGGCATTAGGTGCGGGACTGGGCATTAGGTGCGGGACTGGGCATTAGGTGCGGGACTGGGCATTAGGTGCGGGACTGGGCATTAGGTGCGCGACTGGGCATTAGGTGCGGGACTGGGCATTGGGTGCGGGACTGGGCATTAGGTGCGGGTCTGGGCATTAGGTGTTGGACTGGGCATTAGGTGCGGGACTGGGCATTAGGTGCGGACGGGGCATTAGGTGCGGGACTGGGCATTAGGTGCGGGACTGGGCATTAGGTGCGGGACTGGGCATTAGGTGCGGGACTGGGCATTAGGTGCGGGACTGGGCATTAGGTGCGGGACTGGGCATTAGGTGCGGGACTGGGCATTAGGTGCGGGACTGGGAATTAGGTGCGGGACTGGGCATTAGGTGCGGGACTGGGCATTAGGTGCGGGACTGGGCATTAGGTGCGGGACTGGGCATTAGGTGCGGGACTGGGCATTAGGTGCGGGACTGGGCATTAGGTGCGGGACTGGGCATTAGGTGCGGGACTGGGCATTAGGTGCGGGACTGGGCATTAGGTGTTGGACTGGGCATTAGGTGCGGGACTGGGCATTAGGTGCGGGACTGGGCATTAGGAGGTGCGGGACTGGGCATTAGGTGCGGGACTGGGCATTAGGTGCGGGACTGGGCATTAGGTGCGGGACTGGGCATTAGGTGCGGGACTGGGCATTAGGTGCGGGACTGGGCATTAGGTGCGGGACTGGGCATTAGGTGCGGGACTGGGCATTAGGTGCGGGACTGGGCATTAGGTGCGGGACTGGGCATTAGGTGCGGGTCTGGGCATTAGGTGTTGGACTGGGCATTAGGTGCGGGACTGGGCATTAGGTGCGCGACTGGGCATTAGGTGCGGGACTGGGCATTAGGTGCGGACGGGGCATTAGGTGCGGGACTGGGCATTAGGTGCGGGACTGGGCATTAGGTGCGGGACTGGGCATTAGGTGCGGGACTGGGCATTAGGTGCGGGACTGGGCATTAGGTGCGGGACTGGGAATTAGGTGCGGGACTGGGCATTAGGTGCGGGACTGGGAATTAGGTGCGGGACTGGGCATTAGGTGCGGGACTGGGAATTAGGTGCGGGACTGGGCATTAGGTGCGGGACTGGGAATTAGGTGCGGGACTGGGCATTAGGTGCGGGACTGGGAATTAGGTGCGGGACTGGGCATTAGGTGCGGGACTGGGCATTAGGTCCGGGACTGGGCATTAGGTGCAGGACTGGGCATTAGGTGCGGGACTGGGCATTAGGTGCGGGACTGGGGATTAGGTGCGGGACTGGGGATTAGGTGCGGGACTGGGCATTAGGTGCGGGACTGGGCATTAGGTGCGGGACTGGGCATTAGGTGCGGGACTGGGCATTAGGTGCGGGACTGGGCATTAGGTGCGGGACTGGGCATTAGGTGCGGGACTGGGCATTAGGTGCGGGACTGGGCATTAGGTGCGGGACTGGGCATTAGGTGTTGGACTGGGCATTAGGTGCGGGACTGGGCATTAGGTGCGGGACTGGGCATTAGGAGGTGCGGGACTGGGCATTAGGTGCGGGACTGGGCATTAGGTGCGGGACTGGGCATTAGGTGCGGGACTGGGCATTAGGTGCGGGACTGGGCATTAGGTGCGGGACTGGGCATTAGGTGCGGGACTGGGCATTAGGTGCGGGACTGGGCATTAGGTGCGGGACTGGGCATTAGGTGCGGGACTGGGCATTAGGTGCGGGACTGGGAATTAGGTGCGGGACTGGGCATTAGGTGCGGGACTGGGAATTAGGTGCGGGACTGGGCATTAGGTGCGGGACTGGGAATTAGGTGCGGGACTGGGCATTAGGTGCGGGACTGGGAATTAGGTGCGGGACTGGGCATTAGGTGCGGGACTGGGAATTAGGTGCGGGACTGGGAATTAGGTGCGGGACGGGACCTGATTTCGTTGAAGGGGAACGAAAGAGTGTTTGGCTGACCTGGTGATGTCAAGTGCCTTGCGCATGTCCCCTGATGCTGCTGCCACTTTCTGCTTGCACACGCACGCACAGGAATGCACAAGGAGGGGGAGAAGAGATTATAGGAGACGAGAAGACAGGAAAAATCTCGTCAGATAGAGGAGAGAATGGTGTGAGGTGGGTAGCTGGCGGTTCAGGGATAAGGTGGAAGGAGGATGAGACACGGAAGGGACAGAAGCAGCACCGTGGAGAAACGACTTGGCTTGGCAGCTAGAGATAGGTAGCAACACACCCGAGCGCAGAGATGCAGCGCCATGGGGTCAAAGGAGAACGATGCGCTCGCGCTCTCCCGTGCACTTCCCTCCACCGCTGCCCCAGGCGCTGCTGCTCCCACTCGCCTCCCTCCTGTGGCAGTCTGCCCGCATGACACACACAGAGGAGCGGGGCGGCAGGTGGGTGAGAGAGGCAGGCACAGCACACAGAGGCAGGATGGCGATGAGAGAACTGGGGGATATGTGGTGTGGTGTGGTGTGGTGTGGTGTGGTGTGGTGTGGTGTGGTGGGGTGCTATGGTTGACAGGTGGGCCCGGCGGTAGCGGTATGGCGAAGCGAACAGGTGGCCATGGCAACTGGCACATACCTGGAGCCTTTGGGAGAGAATCTCGTAGATTTGATTGCGATCGTATGCTGGGAACGGCAGCAGTGTTGGGCGGGCTGTCACTCCCCTGAGAGGACGCAGAGAGTGAGAGGAGAGGAGAGGCGGTGAGAGGCGAGTGAGCATCGAAGGGGGCCGGCTCGAGCCGAGACGAGTGAGCAGTAGGGACAAATTAAACGAGAATAACGGTCAGAACAGAGTGAAGGCTGGACAAAAGGAGGGTAAGGAAGTGGGAGGGAGGGTAGGGTAGACGGGAGGGGCGGAAGGGTAGAGAGGGTGGGAGCAATGGGATGGCAGAGAGGGAAGGGAGGGAAAGGAGGGATAGAGAGGGGAGGGAGGGAAGGGAGCGCACGTTGAGTTGGGGCGGGAGAGGTGTGGCAGCAGGGAGTCGATGAGATGGATGGCGTTTGATATGCCTGTTGGGGGGGGCGTTCCGTGGCCACGGGGAGCAAGGGGTGCAGGGTGAAAGTATTTTGACTGCAAGGCTGATTCTAGCTTGATGCCCTGTTCAAACTGCACTGGAGAGAGTTTCTGAGTTATGTAGAACGAATATAGCACTGAGCAATGAGGATACAGCACTGAGCAGTTTAGAATGCAGCAATAACTGACCAATGAGGATGCAGCGCGAGTGGGCGGGGAGGGAGGGCAGGAGGAAGAGGTGAGTGAGCACGGAGGTGTCCCTGCCCCTCACCAGCTGATCCACCTCGTCCGCCACCACCAGGCTGATGTACGCCATGCAAGCCCCACCCGCACAGCACATACACACACCACACACAACACAGAAACCACAGAATTCACATACAGCACGCAACGCATACGAGGGGAACATTGCATGGTTCGGGGAGAGACAGACAGCACATGAGCGATGAACGTGCTGCCATGAATCGCTCTTTGTGGATGACGACCGCGGTCGTTGAGGGCATTCGCAGGGCCATGGGGCTGACTTTGAGGGCGAGGGGGTTGACTTTAATGCCGAGAGGGGACTGACTCAGATGAGAGGGGACTGACTCAGACGACAAGAAAACTGACTGAAATGGCGAGGGGACTAAATGCGGAGGAAGAGAGGGCTGACTCACATCATAGGTTTCCTCTCACCCTTGCCACCACCGCTGCTCCCATCACACTTGCCCGTGCCCCCATCACCACACCGCTTCTCACCACGATTGGCTCTCCCGCCCCCCGCCCCTTCCCCGCCTCTCCCTCCCTCAGCCGCAGCACTCTCCTTGCTCCTCCGTCACCCTTCTCCCCTCTTCTGCCACCTCCTGTCCCCCGCGTCACACGCGCCTTCCCTACAGCGCGCATCTTTGCATCATCTTCCTGCCGTGCGCCCCCTGCCTGCCCTGCAGCCCCTGCTTGCCCTGCAGCCTCTGCCTGCCGTGCGTCCCCTGTCACCACTTCAACCACGTCATCGTCCTCCCCTGAAGACTCTGCCTCAATCGCATCCCTCGCAGCCTCGCCCTCAATCACCCGTGGCTCATTCCCCTCCGCTTGCTCCGCCCGCTCCTCCTGCACCTCCTGCTGCAGCAGCGACAGCACGGCCTCTCTCGCCGCTTCGCCATCCCCGCTCGTCCGCGCTCTCCCTGTGCCCCCTCGCCGCTGCGCGCTCTTCCGCCCGCCGTGGTTAGAGGGAGAGCTGTGGTGCGCAGCCTCTGCTGCTGCTATGGCGCGCTCCATCTGAGGGGCGCGCGGGTGGAAGGAGGACAGCAAGGGGAATGAGAGTTGGAGGAAGGCGCTGGTAGGAAAATGGGAAAGGGGAAGGCGCAAGAAGGCGCAAGACGACACAAGACAAGGGCTTGGAACAGGAACAGAGAAACCAGGAGTGATACATGTATGAGCGCGTGAGAGGAGCAGACTACAGTAGGGGGGGCGAACGAGGGGCAGAGAATGAGCGGCACTAACGCGGCACTAACCTGGGGGAAGAGGTCGGCGGGGTCGGTGAGCGCCATGCAGTTGACGTACACCGGCACACACAGGGGCTGCGGAGGACAGGGGGAATGACGGGTTGAACGCACGGACGCCGGGCACATGGGCACGGATGAGAGTTTGGGGTGATTCGAATGGAGTGACAGGAGCAGGGTGAGCGGCGTTTGAACGGCAAAGGGTGAACGAAACGAATGTTTGAAGGCGACGGAGCGATAAGGGTAGCGATGACGACTCAGTGACGACTCAGTGTTGCGAAGAGAGGAAGGAGGATGATTGCAAAAGCAGGCGACGGTTGGCGTGCGTGCTCGCGTCACTGACGCGGCATTCCCTGGGCCCACCTCGCCGGCCGCGTTAGTCCACGTCGACACCTCCTTCGCCACCTGCGACAGCATCAGGGTCTTTCCTGTTCCCGGGCAGCCGCAAACGTATAAGCTGCCCGCGCGGCCTGTAGTAGCATGGTCACGACAGAATGCGACGATCTGATCGCGCTGCGCGTCGCGGCAGCGAATCTGAACCAGCCCGCTGCTGGCGTCGGCTGCGTCGCTTGCGTCGCTGGTTTTGCACTGGCGGCCGTCTGCGACGAAATCCTTGAAAGTAACTTGTAATGACTGTCGCACACGATCCAGGCATCGCGCGACTGCGGTCGGAATGGGTCGTGCGACGTTTGAAATCGACTGCGATCGAGTGTCGCGCACTTTGTCGTCAGGCCCCATGCCAACTACAGGGAACGGCAATATCAAGGCTCAAAGCGACAATGAGCCTAGAAAAACGCAAGGCGTGGATCCAACAGCGATCGAACGACGCGGAAGCGAAGGGAGAGAGTACAATTTGAGTCCGACCAACGACACTTGTATGCGATGCGTGCGAAAATGCTGGAGGCGGAAGATACGGCTGCCAGCAAGCTTGAATGTCAGAGGCACTGCTGCGATTGTTGCCGTCCTCGTCACTCACTGGGGCTGTGAACGATATCGCCTGGCCAACAAGCTATGCTTCAGCGCAACCACTCCACTATTGTGGGAGCTGACTGGACTGCTTTCCCGTTGTATTATTCAAGCATTCAAGTACAACTGATCCTGCCTCATTGGTTTCACCTGCCTTGGTTTCCGTTGCTTCACCTGGATACTCCTTCCCCCTTGGTATCCCCGCGCCTTGCTTCGGAGGAGGACCGTGGTGCCACTTTCGTGGGCTCCCGCTAGAACAGACAGCTGGCGAAGCCTACAAAATGACCCGCTATCGTTTCCCCATAGTACGATTCGAGTTAAGAAATCAGGAAATATCCAATATTCCTAAGCTATGAATCCAGATATGTAAGTAATCGCAATCAGCGTAACATTACAGCATGTGCGTCTATAAGCAAAACTCGAACAGCCAATAGCAGAGAGCGAGCGCCTCGCGCATCCGTGAAGCAGCAAAACAGAAGATCAACCGTCCCAACCGCGCAACCTCCGCTGACCACCTGGAGATGCCCAAACTGCATGTGCGGTTCGGAGGTTGCGATTCCAGAAATCGACATTTTGACTCACATAACGCATGATTCGGGCTGGTCTGAGGTATAAGGACCAGCGCCGAAACCCTCATTCCAACACTCGGATTTCAGATCCGTAGAACAGCTTAGATCAACACCCTCGCAGAAACCAACAATATCTTACCAGATCATCCGTTTTTGGTGCTGCTGTCTTTGCGTCGGCCCAGCTATCATGCGGCTGCGGAGCACGCGCGTGGCGCTACTGTGCGCGGTGATGGTGGCGGTGAGCCTTGGCGGGGGGAAGCTGGGCGCAGAGGCGGCCGCGGGCAATGACCTGACGAGGCCGTACTACTGCGACAAGAACAGCGACTACGGCTTGTGGTACCGGTACTCGTGCGCGTGCCTGGGCATGACCGAGACGGAGAGGGGCTACTACTGGGAGCCGAAATTCAACAAGTCGGTGGGCGTGACGTGCCCGGGCGCCAACCTGGCGGCGTTCGGCCGCATGGCGTTTGGCAACAAGTGGCTGGAGTCGGTGGGGTACGTCAACTGGGTCGACGAGCTCATGCGCTGCGCGCGCCAGCCGTACCGCGGCAACGGGCGGCAGCTGTGCTACATCCCCAACATCCGCGGGCGTTACAAGGAGCTCTTCGTGGGCAACGGCTACGTGCCGGCCGGCGGCAAGGTCAATGGCCGGCCCTGGAACTGGAACCCGGAGCCACCTTACATCGGCAACAACTGGCGCTCCTGGGCCTGGGATGAAAAGCCGAACTAAACCAGTCGCCGCTGCCTGCTGCCGGGTGCACTCTCTCACACACACGCATGCGGTTGTGCCAGACACGTGGATATGTGCAGGGCGGGGGGTTGTTAGGCGGAACGGCGCTGGTAGGGGGGTTGGAGAGGAGAGACCTGACTGAGGCTGGAGTGGAAAGGAGAGGGGAAGAGACCTGTTGGTAGGTGATGGGTAGCGAGGGTGAGGCATGCGTGTAGGAATAAACAGGGTTTACCATGCTTGTATGGACGTTGGTTGAGTAATGAATCCAAATACTGAAATTTCTTGAAATCCTTGAAACTACAGTAGGTGAACTTGCTGATAATAGCATGAAAAATGGCTGCAGTGGGCGGCATTGTAAGATACACCCCTACCACCTTGCTCGCGTTGCCAATCTTGTGAGGAAAGGGTGTTGGACTTTGTTGGAGTGGCTTTTGAGAGTTTCCAAAAGAAAGGGTGTAGGTGTTGGGTGCTGTTACTGTATGAGAAAACCCCGTGGCCTGTAAAACACCTTCCACTTGTGGAAGCATCCTCCTAGACATCATACCGGTATGATACCAGCAAGCAAACGCCTGATGAGAACGCCTGATACCAGCAGGCTTTTGAGAACGGTACTCAAAAGAGAAGGTGTTGGTGTTGGGCACTGCTACAAGAAACCCCCGTAGCCCGTAAGACACGTCCCACTTGTGGAAGCATCCTCCTAGACATCAGATCAGATGATATGGTACCAGCAAACGCCAGAGAACAAATATGCTACCATACCATGTCAATACGTTCTGCTGGTCAGCATCGTAACACACAAGTGAGCATCGTACTACGAATGTAGGGCTCAGATCAGAAGTGCTTTGATGGACTGCTGCATGCACTCTGCCACCATCTTATCGTACCGGTACTGCTATTGTACTGTACTAGAGTGGAGTGGAGAGCATAACAAGCTGATAGACAGTTGCACACAACACAACACAGCTGTTGCACACCCTCTAGTACACCTGTATGTGCCGTCGGTTGCCCCATGCACATCCTCATCCCATTCCTCTCCCTCCCAGCCCACTACCCCTCCCCGCACACCTCCTTTGTCACCCTGAAACATCACCAGCACCATCCCTTTCATGATTGCAATCACAGCAGCATCAGCATCAAGAACCGCTTCAGCCTCATACGGTACCCGCAGCACCCAAGGTTTGCCTGACTCACCAACTAAAGCAGAGCACACACGCTACTGCTCCTCCAATCTCCTCCCTTCCACCTACCCGCCCCCTCCATCCCTACCTTCCTCTCCCTCCCCTTCCTACCCTCCCATCCCCCCCTCCCTCCCATCCCTACCATCCCTCCCATCCCTCCCATCCCTCCCCTCCCTCCCCTCCCAACGCCTCCCTCGCCTTCCATTAACTCCAGCTATCCCTGCACACGAGCCAGGGAGCAGCGCCACGGTCATCTGGAGGGGCGCATGAGCACCATGCCACCCATGGGCGGCCGCATGCCCGGCGCACCAAAGAACTGCCCCGGCAGCGGCAGCACCGCCCCCCGCCCAGCCCCACCCGGCATGGCAAACGGCATCCCCGGCATGCCCGGCAACCCCATGGGGAGCATGCCTGGGCGCAGCAGCTGCTGGGGGAACCCTCCGGGGGCAGCAGCGCCGCCGGCTGCGGCGGCTGCGGCTGCGGCGCCGATGGGAAGGCCGGAGCCGATGGGGACGGAGCCGAGGTGGTCGCGGATGCGCTGGTCTATGAGGGACTGCGTTTGCTCCTCCTCATACTGCTGGTAGTACGTTCGCACGTTGGCCTGAGATGGGTGTGAGGGGGGGGGGGGGGGGGGGGGGGGGGGGGAGTGGTGGGCAGGGGCAATGGACGGTGGAAGGGGAATAGGTGAATGAAAAAAAGTAGGAAACAGGGGTGGGGAGAGAGCGAAGAGAGGAGGGGAAGAGGCGATGGGAAGGCCGGAGCAGATGGGGGCGGAGCCGAGGTGGTCGCGGATGCGCTGGTCTATGAGGGACTGCGTTTGCTCCTCCTCGTACTGCTGGTAGTACGTTCACACTTTGGCCTGGAGGGTGCGGGGTCGGGTGAAGTGGTGGAGGGATGGGAGGGTGGAGAGAGGGGAAAGGGAGCGAGGGGTGGGTGGAGGAAAGGTCGGAACCAATGGGGATGGAGCCGAGGTGGTATCGGATTTGCTGGTCTATGAGGAATTGTGTTTTCTCCTCCTCGTACTGCTGATAGTACGTGCACACGTTGGCCTGGCACGGTGGGAGGGGAGGGAAAAGCAAGGGAGGGGTGGGTGGAGTGTGGCGGGGGATGAGGTCGAGTCGAGGGGAAAAGAGGAGCGGAGAGAAGAGGGGGAGGAGATGGAGGGGGTCTGGTAGATGAGACCCACTCAGACTTCGCAATGTTCATATGCGCGTATGTTTGCCTGGATGGATGGAAGGGTAGCGGGCAGGCTGATAGGAGGAGAGGAAGTGAGGAACATTTCAGGGGGAAAAGAGTAGCACACAAGAGAGCGGGAAAAGGGGTAGATAGGAGGGGAGGAATGGGAGGGAAGATGTAAGTTGGGAAAAATGGCAGTGTGACGTGAGTGTGTACACAGGTGCGGAAATAAAGGAAAGGCAGATGACCATAAGTGTGCCGTGAGGATTCGTAAGGGCATGCATGCAGCTCTCGTGTGACGCCTGTGATTTGCCGCCTTGCAAACATGCATGCATCTCCTTCCGCTTGCATCATGAGCGTGCTGACGAATGCTACCCTCGTAAAGTCGCATCGCTCACCTTGTGCTTGTATCTCTCACCTTGTGCTTGTATCCCTCACCTTGTGCTTGTATCCCTCACCTTGTGCTTGTATCCCTCACCTTGTGCTTGTATCCCTCACCTTGTGCTTGTATCCCTCACCTTGTGCTTGTATCCCTCACCTTGTGCTTGTATCCCTCACCTTGTGCTTGTATCCCTCACCTTGTGCTTGTATCCCTCACCTTGTGCTTGTATCCCTCACCTTGTGCTTGTATCCCTCACCTTGTGCTTGTATCCCTCACCTTGTGCTTGTATCCCTCACCTTGTGCTTGTATCCCTCACCTTGTGCTTGTATCCCTCACCTTGTGCTTGTATCCCTCACCTTGTGCTTGTATCCCTCACCTTGTGCTTGTATCCCTCACCTTGTGCTTGTATCCCTCACCTTGTGCTTGTATCCCTCACCTTGTGCTTGTATCCCTCACCTTGTGCTTGTATCCCTCACCTTGTGCTTGTATCCCTCACCTTGTGCTTGTATCCCTCACCTTGTGCTTGTATCCCTCACCTTGTGCTTGTATCCCTCACCTTGTGCTTGTATCCCTCACCTTGTGCTTGTATCCCTCACCTTGTGCTTGTATCCCTCACCTTGTGCTTGTATCCCTCACCTTGTGCTTGTATCCCTCACCTTGTGCTTGTATCCCTCACCTTGTGCTTGTATCCCTCACCTTGTGCTTGTATCCCTCACCTTGTGCTTGTATCCCTCACCTTGTGCTTGTATCCCTCACCTTGTGCTTGTATCCCTCACCTTGTGCTTGTATCCCTCACCTTGTGCTTGTATCCCTCACCTTGTGCTTGTATCCCTCACCTTGTGCTTGTATCCCTCACCTTGTGCTTGTATCCCTCACCTTGTGCTTGTATCCCTCACCTTGTGCTTGTATCTCTCACCGTGTGCTTGTATCCCTCACCTTGTGCTTGTATCCCTCACCTTGTGCTTGTATCCCTCACCTTGTGCTTGTATCCCTCACCTTGTGCTTGTATCCCTCACCTTGTGCTTGTATCCCTCACCTTGTGCTTGTATCTCTCACCGTGTGCTTGTATCCCTCACCTTGTGCTTGTATCCCTCACCTTGTGCTTGTATCCCTCACCTTGTGCTTGTATCCCTCACCTTGTGCTTGTATCCCTCACCTTGTGCTTGTATCCCTCACCTTGTGCTTGTATCCCTCACCTTGTGCTTGTATCCCTCACCTTGTGCTTGTATCCCTCACCTTGTGCTTGTATCCCTCACCTTGTGCTTGTATCCCTCACCTTGTGCTTGTATCCCTCACCTTGTGCTTGTATCCCTCACCTTGTGCTTGTATCCCTCACCTTGTGCTTGTATCCCTCACCTTGTGCTTGTATCCCTCACCTTGTGCTTGTATCCCTCACCTTGTGCTTGTATCCCTCACCTTGTGCTTGTATCCCTCACCTTGTGCTTGTATCCCTCACCTTGTGCTTGTATCCCTCACCTTGTGCTTGTATCCCTCACCTTGTGCTTGTAATCCTCACCTTGTGCTTGTAACCGGCATTGTGTTGTTTCCTCACGGACGGCTGCGGCAAGGGGAGGGATCAGTGGGGCCACAGGAAGGCGAGATAGGAAAGCGAAGGGCGAATATTGGAGGTCGCTGGGGAGAGACTGAAGTGAACAGTGCATGAGGAGCGGAAGGAGCACAAAAATGAGATAAAGGGGGGTGCAAGGGGATGCGGGAGGGTGCAGAGAAGACAGCAAGCCAACAGGCGCTTGAGAGTGGAGCTAGGCCGGTGAACACGTGCATGCAGTGGCGGGTGCGAGAAGGGTGGAATATAAGAGGCAAGAAAAAAGTGGTGGAGAGGAGAACCGATAGGGACGAAAAGACAGGGGTGATCAATTGTGCTGGTAGAGAAGAGTGGGAGACTGGAAACACAAAATGGGATGGGGAGGAGGGAAGGGGATGGGAAGGAGGGGGAGGGGATGGGAAGAAAGGGAGGGGATAGGAAGAAGGGGAGGGGATGGGAAGAAGAGAAGCGGATGGGATGGGAAGAAATGGAGGGGATAGGAAGGAGGAAGAGGGGATGGGAAGAAGGGGAGGTGAGGACAAGACAAGAGGAGGGCTGGGCGAAGGAGAGAAAGGCCACCACGCACGCGTGTGACTCTTACCGAGTCGTGAGTTAAGTACGTGTCGCAATAATCGCAATAGTATCTGCGGTTCAAGGCGACGCGGTCGACAAAAGGGGACACGGGGAAGGAGGGAAGAAAGGGGGGAGGGGGGGGGAGAGGGGGGGAGAGGGGGAGAGCACGAATTAGTCAAGGGTGGATTTGGAGTGAGCGAAAAGAGGAGCGGAAGCGAGGGAGGGGAGAGAAGCGCAGATGAGAAACGAACCGCACAGGAGAGACTATGACAATCAGATGAGCAGATGAGCAGATGAGCGTGAGAGCCAGTGAGCGCTCAAAGCGGATGATAGCCGCGAAGATAACGACATGTTGGTCCTGGTAAAACGCTTCGAAAAGCGCATTTCAGAGAACAAAAAACAGAAGATCGGTGACGGTGGGAGGATTTCAACGTCATCTCAAACTATTCTTTTTAACTTTATGCAACCCAGAAGGAGTTAAAATTCTGCGCCTCGAGGGTTCCAACCCTAACTAGCAGAGCGGAGTGGAGCATACCGTGGCATGGCCGCGACGACTGACTTGCGGACAACGATAGACGGTCGGAGAGCTATACAACGAGGGAGGAGCTCCAAAAAGATAGTAGTAAAAGCACAACCTAGTGATCCGAGAGTAGAAGCGTCCAAGTCAATCAATTTTCTAGATAGAACAAGCGAAGTAAATCATTCTGGCTATCTTAGGGTATTCTTTTTTTTTTTTATTTAAACTTTGAATCGTTAGCATGCGGGGATAGCTCAGTTGGGAGAGCGTCAGACTGAAGATCTGAAGGTCGCGTGTTCGATCCACGCTCACCGCACTCTTTTGAAATTGTTTTCTACACCAAGCAATTGTAAACCACGGACCCACACTTCTTTGTTACAGCCCAAAACATAGTAGCCTATTTAGCTACACTTCACTCAAAACCGCGTATGTGCTATCCCAGCTCATGGCACAGTAGCGTTGGGCTTTGTTCAAAGCACACAACTCGGTTTATTCCGCCACACCCCTCCGTAAATCATGGCTGCTCCTGCAGTGGCGCAGCTCTCTGCTAACGCCGCGCATGCTTCACTCAGCCATCAACGACACGCACACCTCCTTCCAAGGCTTCCCGAAGCGCGTTCGGCGGTCTGTAGTGCGAGGCAAGACTGTACCACGAGCAGAGCCATCAGGACCAGCTTCGCTCCTATCACAAATGCCAACGTGTTCAACGGCGTCGTAAGCAGCCTCGCAGCTTCCCGGACAGGCATAACAACCTCTCGCCGATGGCGCGTTTCGGCGAACGCGAGGAGAGATGGCGAGAGCGAAGGCGGTCAGGGGAAGAGGGAAGGCGGTCAGGGGAAGAGCGATCGGAGTGGCGACGGTAGCGAGAAGAAGGAGAGGAACGGGAATGGCGGGGCAGCGGGAGACCCGGAGATGCAGCAGCTGCTGGCGGACATGATGCAGCTGCAATCGGATAAGGTTTGTGCTCAGCTTCTTGTGCTCACCATGTGGTCGCATTGTGCGTACTGCTGCTTCTCATAGGAAGATGCGTCGCAGCCACTGTGGTTTTTTGTTTTTTTGTTTGTCTGCTGGCAAATGTGCTGCGGTAGCGCGACTTCTGTCAGTTCCGTCAGCGCTCCTTCTAACAGCTCTCAGCCCACCTGAGCCTTCATTCCACCCCAGTCTAGCCATCACGCCCAACGGCTTGTAGCTCATCTTGACTACGTGGCCTTGATCCCCTGAGTTACTTGCCTTAATCCCCAGATTTTCTCACCTTGATCTCATGATGTTCTCACCCTGATCCTCTGATCCCTAATGCCCTGATTCCCTGACCCTAATGTGTTTCAGGTACGCGTGGAGTCTTTCGTGGAGGAGAGGACTCAGCTGCTGACGGGGATCGCTGAGTCAGCATCAGCGGAGTATGCAAGGATCGCAGAAGAGGCGAAGCGGGGCATGGAAGAGGCGAGCAGCAAGGTGAGGCGAGCAGCAAGGTGAGACGAGCAGTAAGGTGAGACGAGCAGTAAGGTGAGACGAGCAGTAAGGTGAGGCGAGCAGTAAGGTGAGGCGAGCAGCAAGGTGAGGCGAGCAGCAAGGTGAGACGAGCAGTAAGGTGAGACGAGCAGTAAGGTGAGACGAGCAGTAAGGTGAGACGAGCACAAATATGTTTCACAAACGCATGCGTTGTTCATTCAACCCTCCTCTCTGCCACCTGTCCACCACATCCCCCCATCTTTCTCCAACCGGTCTCTAGATCATCAATGCCTGTGCCGTATGTTTCATTCTCGAATTGCAGTTTGTGTAGGACGCGAAGGCAGAGAAGTGGCTTCCTCTCATTCAACCTGGGATCAAAAAGCAAGAGGACTTACTGACCTGCACTCCTCACCCCCTCCTCCTCTCACCCCCTCCTCCTTGCTTTCTCACCCCTTCCTTTTCTTCCATTCAGGTGCTGCAGCAGGTGGATGCAGAGGCGGACGAGTTTGAGCAGCAGCTGGCGGCAGCGCGGGCGGACATGGAGCGCAGCGAGCGCGAGTTTGACGAGTTTGAGAAGTCCGTGGAGGAGAGGCGCAACTCGCTGCTCTTCTTCAAGCAGCTCTACCGCCGACCCTCCGACTCCTCTCCCTCGCCTCCTGCTGCCGCTGGTTCACCCGGCTCAGAACCTGCAAGCCCAGGCACGAGTGGATACAGCAGTCAGGGATCGGATTCCTCGCGTGACTCCTCGTCGTCTTCAGCGTCGCTGCAGGCCCGCACTCAAACAGCTCCCTCCCCCTCTTCCTCACAATCTGTGGATTCGCTGCCCTCGTCCATTCTGGCGCTCTCTCCCAAGGAGCAAGCTCTAAGGCCGGTACCAGAGCTGTTCTCAGCGAATCAAAGGGCGGCTGCATCTCCGTTCCGTCGCAAGGTGTATGCTGCTCTTGTGGCCATATCAGGGCTCTCTCTAGTGCAGGCGGTCATGCATGAACCCAAGGAGTGGCTGCAGGTGGCTGCTAGTGGGCTCGTGTTCTCTGCATTGCTGGTGCAAGCACTGTATGAACGATCACTTGCGGGAAATGGTAACGATGATGAGGGAGGGAGATAATGGGCGCAAGGAGTAGGCTTCTTAATTGTAGGGTGCATCTCTTTTGTGAGTATTTAGCTTCTATTCATCACTGTCTGTTACGGTGCTAGCCCAAACAACACAACCCAATGGAAGCAGATTTTGATTTTTGTTCACCCTCATTTGTCCCATGAAACATTTCAATGCCTAAGTGCTGCTACACTAACCAGCTATTGTTGGCCAAGGTGGTGGAATAAGACCATGGCTTTATGGATAGAAAGTGCAATGACTCTTTGTGACCACCTTGGATGTACTATGAACAATACACTTCAGTGTCTTTGTAAGCATCTTTCTAAAATATCAGATACCGTTGAATCGACGCTATTGAATGTGCAATGCGATGGAAGCAAGTGGAGTTCCGTTTATTGGTCATAAATGTCACTGCGGGAGAAACTGTTCAGCGACTTTATCCATGTGAAACCATCATCACAAGATGGTACGGGGCACTTGACCCTAGTGGTGCAGGATTGTGTGTGCACCTGGTCCTCGATGCACCCTCTCCGAACGAATGCTAGTGCCTCGGCTCCGGGCAATTCAGCTCAATCCGCAAAACATATCCCTGCTGTACATTTAGGAGTGATTACCTTTTTCGAAGATGGGTTCTATTGTTTCCACAGCTGCCTATACAAAAGAATATATTCTTTTTGTAGATTTCTATCCATCTGTGGCCGACATCGGGCACGCGCTGACATGGCATTTCCCGCATTTTTCTGGGGGGAAGGTCCTTCCTTGGTCGTCTTTGGCTGAGCCGGAGAAAAGCGTGACAGGAACCCTTGTGAAGTGATGATTACGAAACCCCCATCGCGCGAGGCAGTTGGCGTCAGTCCCAATGGCAGCTGGAACCATCGGGTCCCTCCCAACCTCGACTCACATGAAAGCCCCTACGGGAGTGACGGAAGCAAGGGGGCTTGATGCGCATGATTCATCACCGATGCAACCCTGTTCGCACGCCAGGCAGCCAGCTTGCACGCCGAAGGAAGTTTCCATCCCCGTCTCATGACGCTTGCTCCTCCACAGCTCTCTCGTCTCTCGAGTCTCGCCTCGCCTCGAATCCGAGTCATTTCAGTAATCCCCTCGTTTCCCGTGCCTGGAAGCTAGAAAATGAAGCTGAGGGTCCCACAGCTTCATTCTCAAATCTCAGCAACTCATTCCATCAACGTCTACGCATAGCAGCACGATTTCGACTACAATAACCTTTTGCTTTAATTAATCTCACCATGGTTGATGCCGTTGACTTCGAAAGCTTCCCCTCCTCACCCGTCTCCGAATTCGCTCTTGAGATGTTCAGCCGCGTCTGTTGCGACCTGGAGGACGGAGCATGCAATTCGACTGTTTCCACGAGTGATGTTCCTTTTTTCCGCGATTCATTCGACTACAACAGCAGCGAAAGCGAGTCAGCGTGCTGGGAAGCCGAACTGGCCTGCAGTCCGATTTGGATCGACGAGGCAAGGTCGAGAATCCGCAGCGCGGCTCTCGCAGTAGTTGAGACGCAACAGCAGTCACTGCATCTGACGTCGCTCGCTGACAGCCATATGCATGACGATGACTTCTCAGAGTTCGACGTTTCTGCTGAGGTTTGCTCCTGTATGTCGCCGAACTCCATTCAGGCTAATAGCTTGAAATCGAGGAGTAGCGGCAAGGCTGGTGTTTTCCGGTTTATCGCGACGTCGTGCGCCTGCGGAAGTGAAGTCAGGGATTGATTTGTACTGTTATTTAGATGTGGTGCTCACATCTCTAGCTCCCGCCTTAGCTGGCAGCTGTATAGATTCATTTCTATAAGATGGATACGGCGTGGCCTGGAACTTATTGGCCCGTCTTTGTAGTAATAAATGAAGTTCTCATTTAAACTCAGTCTAAATATTTTGTTGCAGATCAGTCCAAGTTAGATATCTTCAACATATTAACCTTGTGCTTTATAGTGGGCGCGGGCCATGTTGCCCCCCTTTAGCTTCTTCAATGACGCTTCGTCATTCAAGGACAGATACGTTGGGTAACGATTTAGGAATGTCTGCTTTCCTTCGAGAGCTTGAAACAACTCCACACCATGCCAATGCACAATGTTTGATTACTTTGTTCATGCACACTGCATAGCAAAGAGAAGACACCTTTTGTGGTTTGTGTTTAGGTGCTACAAGTAGGGCGGCGGTATCCTCCACTCGTTCGATGGTGCTTCTAGGTGCTGTGCGACAAGCATGCACGTTGATGGAATAATCTGTGCTGCCGTTGGATTCCACATTCAGTGGGTTACATTCGCTGAGAACGGCGGTGATTAGGCAGTGTGCATTGCATCGTTGGGCTGAAAGCCCAATGGCAGTGTGAAGTTAACAATGTTCAAATATATTTTCCTAGCTATTCAGTAATAAGTCAGAACCTACCAAGTTCTCCACTCCAAGCCCCAACCCAATGCCCCAGCCCTTCGGACAAAGCAACTTTTCTGAAACCGAGTTTGAATGAGAATCTCTTATTACTGCAGAGACGGGCCAATTAGTTGCCGGCCACGCCGTATCCATCACAGAGAAATGAATCAATGCAGCTGCTAGCCAAGGCAGGAGCTAAAGATGTGAGCACCACATCTACTAAATGGCACTAGAAATGCAATCCCCTAACTTAACTTCCGTAGGCGCAACGACGTCGCGATGAACCGGAAGACACTAGCCTTGCTGCTGCTCCTCGAATTAAAGTTATTTGCATGAGTGGATTTCGGCGACGCGCATGAGCAGCCGTCGACAGAATAGTCGAACTCAGAAAGGTCACTGTCGACGAGAGATGTCAGATGTAGCGACTGCTGTTGTGTCTCAACCACCGCGAGCGCCGCGCCGCGGATTCGCGACCTTGCCTCGTCAATCCAGATCGGGCTGCAGGCAAGCTCGGCTTCCCAGCACGCTGAGTCGCCCTCGCAATTGTTGTAGTCGAATGAGTCGCGGAAATAAGGAACCTCAGGCTCCGAGCAGGATGAGTCGGGTGTGCACGCGCTCTCTAGGTCGCAACAGACGCGGCTGAACACTTCGAGACTAAGGACTGAGAGCGGAGATGCAGGGCACATCCCGAAGTCGGCGGTGTGGGCCATAGTGGACAATGTTGAGGGAATACTTTTAGAGAGGTCCGGGTCAAAGAATGCCAAGGTCGACAAGGTTCTTCTGAGCAGATTCAGTGCAGAATACAAAAGCAGCAGTGGGTTCAGCTTTATCTCGCCACCACCGTAGGCGTGGAGTGAAAGGGGATGACGAAACTGTAAGCAAAGTTTGCTGGGGAGGGGAAGGGAGGAGAGGGAGGGAGGTCTGTTGGTTTGGATTGAATGCAGCCAACGGGAGCTCGAAACTTCCAGCCCTATTGACGCAATCCGCTGCACAAGGCTCTTCACGTGATGGCCCTTGCCCGCCCATCATATCGCGTGAATGCAGCTTGCATTCCAGCCAGTTCAATCTACTGTACTACCAAAAGGCGGGAAAATTGCGCTTGGTCTGAGCATCAACCGCATCGCGTCACCCTGCACAAGCATTACAGTACAGTACATCTAGGTTGGCACGCATGAAGTTTGACACCAGTCGAACACCTGGACTAATTATGACATCACGGGGTTGAATGTGAGGCATGCCCACTATTTTGATGGGAATACACGCAGTGGATAGATGCCTCTCCGTAACCATTTTCTTATGGATAGCCTCCAGAGACGAGCCCATGACTAGCTGTTGTGAATCAGCGTGTATCGGGTACGTCTTGCGCCACCTTCACTCGCTCCTCAAAGCACTGCACAGGCGACGTCAGGTTGTACAACTTTTTGAAAGCAAAATTGTCATTAATAATAATAATAATAATAATAATAATAATAACTTTTTGAAGGCTCTCTGCGGTCAACTTTGTTTCGTCAAGGTGCCAAACGGTAAACGTCGAGAACCGGTTTTCACCGTGTGAAAGCCACGATACAAGAACTGTGAATGTGCAAAAAGTTGTACAACCTGACGTCGCCCTAACAGCTCATCAAGGCCAGGTTGCGTGAGAATGGCCCGTGAAGTCATGATTACTCCAGGTGCTGGCTCGTGACAGATTTACTTCGGGCAACTGCTTGACGTGATGCAAATTTCCCGCCTGGTTGTGTCGCCTGGTTGGTGCGAGGCCAAGGGACCATCACGTGAAGGGCCAGTGCCGCGGATTGCATCACAAGGGCAAGAACTTCGGGCTCCTCTGGGTTCCGTGCATCGCATCCAGCCAAGCCAAAAGGCGTCACCTCATCCTCCTTCACTTTTACGATGACATAAAGCTGAACCCTTTGGAGCTTTGGTACCACTCGCAATTTTGGCAGAATCAAAGCCTATCGACCTCATTACTCCTCAAAGACCACTCAAGCATCCCCGTAGCAATTTTCACCATGGCTCACACCGCCGACTTCGATATGTGCCCTGCGTCTCCCCTCTCAGTCCTTTCTTACGAGATGTTCAGCCGCGTCTGCGACATGGAGAGCGCGTGCAGTCTCGGCTCTTCCTCCGCGGAGCCCGAGACTCCTTATTTCCGCGATTCATTCGACTATAACAACTGTGAGGGCGACTCCGCGTGCTGGGAAGCCGAGCTAGCCTGCAGCCCGATTTGGATTGACGAGGCAAGGTCGCGTATCCGCAGCGCGGCTCTCGCGGTGGTTGAGACACAACAGCAGTCGCTACATCTGACATCGCTCGCCGACAGCTATATGCATGGAATCGACCTTTCTGAGTTCGACGATTCTGTCGACGGTTGCTCATGCGCGTCGCCGAAATCTTCCAAGACTAACAGTTGCAGGAGCAGCAGCAAGGCTGGCGTGCTCCGCTTCATCTCATCGTCTTTGCGCCTTAGGAAGTGAAGCAGTAACTTCCTCCTTACTAATTTAGTGCAGTGTGGCGCTCACACATGATTAACATAACATTAGGTTGTAGGGATACGGCGTGGCCTGTCTCCAGCTTCCGGCCCGTCATTTGTTGAAATTGAAAAAATTTTGAGATGATCCCGTTATG